CCCCCACAGCCGTAACTAATGACCTATGGATTAATCAGGACACCTGTGAGATTTTATAGCCGAGACCCAATAAGAGTCGTACTGAAGATTTATTGACGCTAAACAAATCTGCTGTAAGTGGTCTTACCGGCGTCACCACAGGGCACTGTGCTATAGCATCAATGCTCCATCGATGGCGTATACTAACAAGCTACCCCTACCGAAGTTGTCGGGATGAGGAAGAAAAGGAATCAATTATTCACTTCCTGTCAATGCCCAGCTCTCCAGACAAGCCGTCCGAAACATTTGTGAACACACTTTTTCAATAGTTTGGGGGACAAAGCGGAGACGAAAGTATCGGATCTCCACAGCTTCGTTTGGGATAGTAAATGGCTTAACTGCTAGAATGATGTGCCTCCTCCTGGCACTCGTAGCGACCATTTAGATTGGGTAAAACGCCTCTACCTAATCCAGCTTAACATAACCACACCCAACGTAATAATAATAAGCGTTGTGCTGCTTACATACATATATGTAAGTTGCGATCCCGTACGTATCCAAACTTGTCAGAAATAGTCAAAATTAGTCCTTAAAAATAGTACTGAAGATATTATAAATGTATGTACGGAACGACTTCTCACTATTTCTGATATGCCACATTGCCAAAAATAACTGAAAATTGAACGATAATCAAGCTAGACTTGCAATTTATTTAATTCCTTCCACTAATCTCAATCATCATTAGTATAAAGCGTATTATGAACATTATATGCAGTGAATATTTTTTTAAAACAAGTTCAAGCTGCCATCAATCAACTTCACCGCTAGAATTTTAAAGCGACTCTCCCCTCGTTTTAATGCGCTTGTCATTAATATTGCCAGCGATATATACTCGCATGTACATACATATGTAAGTACTTCGAGTGATAATGAGCTTTGTAATGTGAAAGGGGTGACGAGTCTTGTACATACAACCAATACACCCCATTGCTGCATTTTAGTGATGTTTTGTTTCTTTTGCTTTGGTTATTTTTGCGTATGTGTGTGCGTTAATTTTTCCATTTCTTTACATTCACAATGCAACAACAACAGCACAGCAATGTGTGAGTGCAATTAATTGGAAAATAAATTGGCCATAGAAAAATACGCGAACAAACAAACAAAAAAAAAAACAACAACCAGCGAACCAAACCAGAGGAATTCACTTAGAGCGGCAGTGACATGCCTTTACACTTTGCTTAAATGGTTAAATGACGGGAAAATAAATAAATAAATGTTGATTACAATGGTTGCAAGCAAACAACAACACACTGGAGAATGTATGTATGTACGTCTGTATATAGCAGAGGTGGGCACTACCACAAACAAGCGTGAGATAAAAGTGAGAATGTGTTGGTGTATCCAATTCATTTTGCATGCTGTCGCGTTCTCATCGTTACGCTCTCGCTTGTATACGTACACGCGATGCTTACGCTCATTTAGCACCTGCTAAGTCTCTGCCCATGCCTGGTATATAGTAATGAAAACGTTTGAATGACAACATCTAATAGCCTAATGGCATTGTGACAAACAGGCGAACGACCTGGTGGCGGGCAAACGAGCGGCCAGCGGCCAGTGAAGCCAACGATGCACTCGATATGTTTAAGAGATAGAGTTAATACATGGCAAAGGCAGGCGAGTGCACTGATAATAATGGCAAATTAAGGAAAAAAGAGAAGAAAGTAATTTGCGCTAAAAGCAATAAAGATTATAAATTAAAAAATAGCGAAATAAATCGTAAGAAAAAGTGATAAAGCAGCATTGCCTTATTGGTCGACTAAAGATAAATACAAAAGCGACGATTACAAGTTGTGATAGGAAATTAAATTAACTGAAAATAGTTCGAGTTGTTTGAAAAAATCGTAAATGGCAATTGGAGAAAGTATGCACAAATTTGATAAGTTTTCGCAGCGTAGGGCTGCCAACCATACAATAATATATAGTATTGTAACATTTTTCCGATCGACGTACTATATACTGTCGGAAAAAATATAGTACGCGAAAATACTATTGGGGTATTCACAACGGTGTCGTAAGTGTCGTGTTGTTGTATGTCGTAAACTTTAAATGCCTAAACATATAACTTAACCTAAAATTATTTATTCTCTACTCTCTATTCCAGCCTACTTTGGCATTCACAGGAAGAATTTTTTCCATAACCTAAAAAGCGTTTTTACTTTTTCTTTTAAATAAAATACATACTATATTTATTTGAAATGTACTATTTTTTCCCATTATTATTTGAAAAAGTACTATAAATATCTTAGAAAATGTTGGCAACCCTATTGCAGCGTACGTCTAATTCAATTGTGGGAAGAATCATTTCGCTTTTTGTTCAAGAAAAATGCGTGTTTAGCGCTTAAATGCGCAAAAAACGTCGCCAATATGTAAGCACTTGAATTGCATGAATTGCAAAAAAATTCAAATAAATACATAAGAAAGAAATCCCATAAAATAAAGACGAACAAGTTCAATGTCCTTGAAAAGCAAAAACTCAACGTAACGAAAATCATCCCCTGCTGCTGCCGGCAGAGGTGTGCAAATACAAGACAAAAAAAAGGATCGAAGGTGAAATGAATTCCAACAGCAATGGTAGAAAATGCGCAAAAACAAAACTGCAAACCTGCAATTGTTTTTATACATAGTATTTATGTACGCATGTATGTATTCTACTCCTGAGCTGTTAAATTTGAGCTGATTTGTTGTACAGTAGCTTAATCGCCACAAAAGTGTTTGTAAAAAGATATTTTCATATTTTCTTTGTTAAATTTTTTTTAGTTACATTTTAAATGTAAAAATTTTGCCATTTTGCATAAGGGTTAAGATTTCATATCTAATAAAATAATTAGTATACTTTGTAATATATTATACATGAATATCTAAATGTGTCTTTTAATATTATTTAGCCCAGGGATGGGCAGATTTTTGGGCTCTTGAAGCAGTCAAATACCAAGCCAGTTCTCAGGAAAAGGTGTAAAAAATACATTAAAATAATCATATGTATTAGTAATGAGAGTCGTAGTATAAGAAATTTTATTATGCTTTTCTTCCCCTTTCATGCTGACTCTTGATGTTACCCCTCATCTAGCACCTAAATGTGCCAAGACGGCTCCTGGGAGCCAGTTTGCCCATCTCTGATTTAGCCCAATGTGTGCATGTGGAGAGTCACCTCACAACTCCCGACACCTCTTCGCTTATCCCCTAAACCCCACTCAACTAACGCCCCTATACCTATGGACATACCCAGTCGGAGTAGCACATAGAGTCCCAGTCCTGTTGGTTTGACTTGACACAACGATTGATGGACAAGCCGATCTAGGCAGGGCTAAGTAAGCCGCTACAACAACCGAAGACAGATGCTAGTGCTTCTAGTAAGGGAAACCTATAAACTGAAGGTCTTCGTAAAACAACTACTGGACCAACTCTCGCACTGTCAGCCTCCACCTTTTGCAGCAGAGTAGCTTCAGCTGCTTCGAAACACGCATTATTCTTTCGAAATTACAGTCTGGCTACTCTGGCAAATTAAACTTCTACCTATCTAGACGCGACCGAATGTACAAATGCCCATTGAAAGTTCCCAAACACTAACCACCTCCCCCTTTAAATCACTCAAATAAGACTTATCTCGCTTTGTCTAGTCAGAACCACGTTACTGTGGTACGTTATTTGAGCTTGACGACTATAATTGAAATATTAGTTGATCTAGACAGCGATAACTAGCCGCAAAAATAACATCGAGCATAACATATGCTGATGATATCTGGAGACCTGGAGTCTGAGATGCATAATTAAATTTTGGTTCGGATTCGCACAAGAATATGCCATTTGGACACAACCCAAAGGAAGCTTTGAGTTACTTAAAGGTTGAATAAGTTAAAAGACAAGTAGACATCGAAACTTAGGGTGATCGGAAACCATGAGATATATGCATAGTATGCACATACATATGTATATTTCGCGATATTTTTCATTTCATTTATTAATTTGTACACACAAATAATACATAGTCAAGCTCAAAAAGGGTTTTATTTCTTTTTATTTTTTAGCTCTTCCAACCACTAAAGGCGATTTCTCAATTAAGATGTCTGAAAACACATTGGGTTAAAAACTTAACTTTGAAGCCTAATTCGCTTCTTATTCGAAACCCCACTACCAAATCAATGGGGGATGCCAATGGCATATAAATTTTAACGCCTGAAAAAGTTGAGGGATAACTTTCTAACCATTGACGATTTAGGGCAGGCACCTAGAACGACAGTAACTACATATCTCTCCACAAAATCTATTAGCTCCCTTTTCTACGATAAAATGCAAGTATTGGCTAAATACAACCACTGTTATCGCACATATCCTTGTGACCATTGCCTTGACTGTTGCTACATAAATGCATAGTACATACTGCCATTAATGTGCGTTGCGTTGGTTGTTGCTTGGACTCACAGACGGCAGGTTGCCGATGACTCATTTTGTGTGTCTGGCAACAAAAAAAAGGGGCGCACGGTAATACCAAAACAAGCACACAAACTGCAATGAAATGAGGCGCAAGCAAACAACCAGTACAACAACCCGATAAGCAACTCTTCCACCCAGTCAGGGCTTCCCACTTGCATTTATTGCTCCCCTTTCAATGACGACGACGACGACAGCGGTGGCAATGAGATGGCGACTGCTGTTGCGGCCGCCAGCAAGCGCATGTCTCGCCTCTTGATACTGCCCGACTGAATAACTGGCGGCAACCCACTCATGCTTACCAACAAACAACCAAGCAACCTAATAGCCAGCTTGTCACATTTAAAATTCCTTTGTTCAATCGCTTCCACATAGTTAACAGCCATGGTTCTGTATCATTTCTTTTTCATTTTATTATGTTGCGCTTCGTTAATTTGATATTTGTTAAAGTTCTTAAGATAATACTTATAATATGTACTAATAAAAAAGTTTTATATTTATACGAGATATTTGATTTTAATTATGGTACTCACCTTTCTCATTTGCACACACGTTCAACTGCTCATCGTCGCGTGAGACTTGTGTGATTATTGATGTTGCATCCATTTAAGCATCAATTTTTTACTTCACTTTCGGTAGGCAAAAATACAGATTTGCCTGCCGCCGTTTTATGTGTGTTTAACAACAAAAACAAAAAAAAATTTGCAAACAAAATTAAATTTCAACAGAAATGAAATGAAAAAAAGAGGATTATTACGTTATGATTAACACACTCGTTTCTTATTGGGAATAATTATTTTTGTTTATGCTCTTTAAACTTCGTTTCACTTTTCGGTTCTTGCTGCTAAGCGCGTGTTTTCGTTTAAAAATAAACTTATGTATTTACTTTTTACTTTTCAGTGCTAAAAAAAGACGTTTGGTTTAATGGCAAAGTGGCGTAATATTTTTTTTCTTTTTCCTTTTTTTAAAAAATCACTATGCAAATAAATGTTTTAGGTTTATATCGTGATCACTAAAATACTTGTGATTGTGTAAAATTATACTTAATCCACTTTATTATTGCAGTTAATTTCAAAGGAACCACAGCAAACGAGAGAACACAAAGAAAACCTGAAATTGAAAGTAAGAATATTATTTTACTATTTAAATTGTTAAAGTAGGATTTATATTTTTATATTTTGTTCGATAATCGTATAGTTAATACCTTTTATTTGTCCGCAGTACATAAGCAAATCATTCAAACTAAAATACACATTCCCATCTTAAGTCTTTGCAACATCTCTTTTCTAAACAAAGAATAATCAAGGGTTTTTCATTACCTAAGCCCATTGAAAAAATAATTGGCATTAACATTTTTACTAAGCATTTGGACGAACTTCTTCCCCACAGAAATGAAGGGACTTACATCTCAGTTGCTCCTCTGAACGGCAGACAATTTTCTTGGGATAAGTTCTTTCTATTGAAAAATAAGCTTATGACCTTCTAATATTCCGCTGCCAGGCATCGAACTCAGGCCCCATCGAGTATATGTAAGTATGTTCCTCTGTCTCCTCTGGTGATTTGGATGCTATGAGAAGTATTTGAGCAAACCTAACCTAACCTTACTAATATGAACTCTCGATACTAGCTTAGTTTATCAAATCGGCTTGGCAGAAAATTCTGTTTAGGGCCAGCTTTTATGGTAACTATATTGTTCTCATTGGATTCGATTACATTATTTATTCGTGAACGAACTTATATAATTTTAGTATTAATGAGGGGTTATTTCGATAAATTTCTTCCTTTGTATTCATAGTTAGGTGTTTCATAATATTTTGTGCTCACACATTTAGCTTTATATATGTAACTAACATAGATAATTTATAAAGATATACACTGCAACCCAAGGGATATATTGTGCCCTCTACTCATCATAAAATCTCGTTTATTTCCACATCCTCACATTCCAAGGCATCACACTCAAGGAGCAGGTGCAGTGGCGTATCTTAAGTTGAGTTACAAAACCGATAAAGATCATTTTGCCAGATTCCTATCGAAACCAGATGACATCTTAGCCTACACAGCCCCATGAGAATGCTTATGAAAATCCCCAGCTTCCCTTTAGGGAGGTAAATAAGAAGGCAGTATCTTTTCAGTTTATACCACCTCTCCCCTACTCATCTGCATTTGTAGATCAATTGAATGAAGAACCAGAGTTTACACGTGTTGTGCTTAGATTATAGGTGTCGTGTGGTTGCAGTTATTTTGCCAGAATGAATTAAGCTGTATAATGAAACGTAGACACATCAAAAAAGATTACAAATCTTAAAAGCTCGTCCAAACACTTTACTGCGAGGATTTCCAAAACTTTAGGTGGTGTTTTTTTTATTCCTCGATAGTATACTGGTTATTTTTCCTCGATGGTACAGTCGTTACTTTTTCTCGATAGTATAGTGGCTATTGTTACTCGATAGTATAGTGGTTAGTATCTCCGCCTTTTACACCGTGATTTTGTTATAGTGTTATACTCACAATATCTTCTTAGTACTGTAAAGTTCCTAAATATCGAATGTATCTTTTGCCGAGTGTTTGAAGGTAGCTTGCAGTAACAAAGAAAGTGGCACTAGGCTTATCAAAGTGCCTCTTTTTAAAGTGAATTGAAATTTAAAAGACTACATTTTAAAACCTTGCTTTATGTTTCTCGTTTTTTTTTGTCTGATTATTATACCTAAATAATAATCTTTGCGGGTATAGCAAGAATTTTTGTTTATTGCAAACAAAAATTGAGTGCCCACAACAGTTAAATGCCCTTATACACATACATATGTACGTATGTATGAGAAATACACAAGCAATGCAAAAGAGAAAAACGTAAGCCAATTCGTGAAATTGCCCTTTCTTGAGGCAACACGGCAGAGTGGCAGCGCAGCTGCTGCCGACGAGCGATAGACACTTGCGCAGCTGTGTCAGAATGTTGACAGAACCGCAGCGCAGTTAAAGGCACTGCACAACTGGCTTTGAACGACGTCATACGAAGTACATGGCGCAGCAATTTGCCGTCATTTGAGATAACGTTGACTGCGACTGCAACAACTGACAGTAACTCGTTTTGAATTTCAATTTAACTTTTTCCAACATGAAGTATAGAGCACATAAGGAGAGTTAAAAAATGAATGAATGCATGTGAACGAGATAGAGAAGATAAAATAGGAAAACTACTTAAAGGGGATAGGCAGCAATGCGAATGCGCGAAATAGAGAAAAACCGTCGACAAGCTAGCAAAGCTAGTTGGCCAATAAAAATATTAGACAGCATAAATAAGAGAATTATTTTGCTTTACAGCCGCAAGCCGCCACAAAAAACTTCAAATCTACGCTCAAGTCATTTAGATTGCCACCGTCAGCAGCTTTGCAACCACTTCACCCGATTCACTTGACTTCATCAGCAGCATACTTAGCAGAATGGCACAGCGCAGTACACAGTACAGTATTGCTATGTTTATGATTTGCATATAAAGAAGGCAATGCGTGCTCATTTGCTGTAAAATTAAATTGTTTTATGGTATAGTTGAGCTAAGACAAGGAAATAGCTGACTGAGACTTAAGTAAGATATGTATGTACTGTACATACAAACATAAAGAAGTACCTATGTACGTAGCGTTGGGTACATAAATCGTACTTTCCACGGCAGCGACCATTTTGCTGTACTTGTGCACAGGCGAAGACAACGGCTCCGGTGGCGGCGGCGGCGGCGGCAATGGCAGTAGAAGAGCCCTCAGACATTTTATGCTGTGGGCTATGAATTTGTTGGCAATTTCTTGCCACTTCCCTTTGTGGTTTGCAGGCAACTGCCGTTTGTACTTACAAATGAAATTTTCGCTCATTTTTATTTTTATACACAAAATCAGGTTAGTCTACCTTGCAGTGGTTTTACTTCTAGACGACATAACATTGTATTATGCTATAAATTTATTTTAATAATCGCCATAGCAATAAAACAAAATTGTGTACTCAAAAATCAACTCAAATTACTTTGCACAATCGAATGTACGCATTGTAGCATACAGATGCCAAAAAATTGCGATAAAAAGCAAGTGTGGCAAAGATAAGAGGAGGGCAGCAAAACAGCAGACAACTGCGAGGCCGTCAAGAGCGGATACGTCGTGTACGAAGCTGCGCTGGTTTGTTGCTTTTCGTACGCTTGCGTTCGTTGCCCTGCCACCCTTACACCACCTTTTCTACCAATGGTTGGGCACTTGCTGCTGGTGCACCTTACGCACAATGCATTTTTGGTGGTGATTTGAGCGAGAATAGCGCTGTTGTTTGCAAGAAATACAAGAATTTTGGTGGTGAATGGCGTTACTGTCAAAGGAATTGGAAGTCCATGACGTTTATTACAGCAATGACGTTGATATTTGTGTACAGTAGATTGACAACAATGCAATGTACTGCTTGTGAGCCAATATAAGTATTACATAGAGCTGCTTATTTTTTACAAAAGCTAATATTTTTTTTTTAATTTTTCATATAAATTTTTCAAGGTTTCCTATATGTGTGTATGTATAACATTCTCGCTGCAAATTCTCACCGAACAAAGTTTTTGCTACAATTTCTAATTTCGCCCCTTTTACTTTACTTTTGTTTCTGCTCTACGCTAGCTCCCCTTTTGCCAACACTCAACTATTTATAACAAACACATTCATACTCTTGGCTACTTATTGCTTTGCCACTTCTATTTTCGCTTTTTTTTAATTTGTCTTTATTTTAACATCCACTTCTTTCAATCACATTATCTGCTTTTTTGCTGTTTCGTCTTTTATCTCATATTCCGTCACCGTCTTCACTTCCGTCTCCGTCTGCTATGCACTAGATCGTCTGCTGCTACTTATGTATTTACACTTTTTTGCTATTGTTGAACGGTCGTCGTCGCAGTCGTTGCCGTCTCTGCCTCCGTCACCGCGCCTGTCGGCGTTGACTGACTGCTTTTGGCTACAAGCCACTTTTAAGGTGTGCGCAACAGTTCGGAAAGCGGAACGCACACAAATATACAGCCTGAAATATACACGCATACACACATGGACGCCAATAAAATGCTACACACAAAGGAATTTTTTTTTTGCAGGCGACGATTGAATGAACCAATATGCAAGAGAGAAATACCTCGTAGAAATATGTATAAAAAATTTAACAATATTTACACTTCACTACATGCGTTTTCCACTTGGTCGCGTCTTTGCCTTAGCCGGTTCTTCAATATTCGTTTTTATTTCGACACTAATTCGTCGCTTTTATGATTATCGCACTCGTTTCGTTTGGAATTTTTATACAGTAGAAAAAAATAAAAACAAAAAATTTCCGCCATATGCAATCGTGCGCGTTTAAGCCGTATATACACCTTTTCTCCTTGTAGTCTAAAAGAAACTGAAAAATTGATGAAGAATTTATGAAAATAGATGGAATAACCCGAAAGTGTAGCCCAAACTACGACGAAAAAAAGAGGTGAAGCGAAATAAAAGACAGTACTGACAACTTAGGATTGAGGAAACTTGGCGGCACTGATATTTGTAGGGTGGTTAAAATTAAATGAAACGTTGAGTTTAGATATTTAAAAAATGCAAACCCAACGGACGTTAGCACCTCATTAGTATAATTATAAGGATTTTTGTATCGCAATCGATAGTTCGTCGATTGTTCTTTACTGTTCGTCCATTTTTAACGCTTGTTCGTTAATAATTTTCGTGATAAATTTAAGCAATTTACCGCTTTATTACTTTAGATGAAGACCCCTATTACTGTGTGGCTAATACGGCTATCTAATGCCACCCCAATTACGTAGTTCGCTCTCTCATTCGTAATTTGCACTCCTATTAACCTTCGAATTACGTAATTCGCCATACAAAAGTTTGAGAGCGAATTACCTCATTTGTTGGTAATTCAGATCCAATTACCATGCGAATTACGAACAAATCGGTGCCATCGGTGTCTAATTTTTATAGGAAATTTATCGAAACTAGCTCACAAGTCAAAACGTGCATTTTTTCTGAGTACGAGAAGTAAAGTTTATAAATGTGTATATCCCTAATTTAATACGGAAAATTTTAAGTTTTTAGGAAGAACCTACATTTTGCATCAATTTTGCTGCGAAGAAAATAAAAACAAAACCCAGAGACAGAGAACTGTCAAATCGAATTAAGAATGTGCTCGTGGGGATGGGGCAATTCGCGATCGTAATTGGGGGAGCGACCAAAGTAATCCTAGATGGCGTGGGAAAATGGTATAACGAACAAACGTTATAAATGGACAAACAGTAAAGAACAATCGACGAACTATCGATTGCAATACAAAAATCTTAATATTTATACTAATAAGGTGCTAACGTCGGTTGGGTAACTAATGCAATCAATCAATAAGAAATACAGACCAATTCTGAATATTCCCAGGGAGTTTGTTCTCCGGGGATTAGCTTTTCCCGCGAAAGATATCCTCCAATAATAAACTCCCAAGGAATAGCATTTTCAGCGAAAATTTGGGAGGAGGAAATTCGAACTTCGAAAGAGCTATTTGACAGCTCAACTCCGCAATTTAAAGTAAAAAATCGTCAGGGGAGTTTTATTCATTATAGGAGGAAAGGGAAAAGAGAGAAAACTCCCACGGAAATTCTGTTCAGAATCGGCCTGATAGGAACTTATTTTTATTTTTTATTTATTGATGGAAGTTTTTAATCTGAAGCTTCGTTTTAATTCAGCGATCAAATATTTATATGTAAGTCATACTGCCATATACCTAAACAAAAGCGTCAGCGTTGTCTGGCGGTCAAAAAATTCTCATGCCCATACAATTTGTATGAAGCACACCAAACAACGCGGCGTCAACGCTGGGCGGTTGGAAAATCCGATCTTGACAGGGCGTTAGGTATTGAAGTTGGCTGCAGAAAACGGCGAAACTGTCATTTTCGTGTTACACACAAACAAACCTATGCTTATTGTTGGTGATATTTCTGCATTTGACGTACGTTGACGCTTTTGTTTAGGAATGGGACTTTGGCCTTAAAGCTAGGCGTCAGAAAACGCTCCGCCCTACGCTTTTTTTGACAGAATTTTTCAATTAAACGTTGCTTTTAAAATAATTCAATACGATTTTGTTCACCGTGGTCAGGCTGTTCCCAACTTCATCTCGTACCTTTTAAACACATTGTTTCAGTAACAATGCTAATTTGTTATTTTCGACCACATGCAATAAATACGTTTCTTATGGGTATGAAATCTGCTTAAAACCGTGTTTTATAAATAAACAAACTCTTAATAACCATTTTATAAGCAGGATTTACTTTGCGTGTCAAACTGTCATTTAACTGATATAGGGCCCAGCGAAATTCGTGCGGCAAGGCGATTGATTTGGAGTTTTGGTGGCCACTTCACTGGTAAGTGGAGAATTATATAATTATTTATTCCTCTAAAATAGTACATGTTTTTTTTTACAGACAAGCACCAAGGTGTTGCATTCAAACCACTGTGTCGATATAACTAACCTACCGTAACATAATTTCGTAAATTTTACTACCCGAAATGTTGCGTACTACCACCGGTCTTTTATCTCGTCTCTCAGTGAATGAATCAAAAACGACCAGTTCCGCTTTGGGCCTAGAGTTTGTGCGCTGGCGTCGGAAGCCCCGTTGGTTACCTGTAGCGAAAAGTAAATTGTACCGTGTGCCGGAGCGCAAGGAACAAAATGCGGAGGAAAGAGCTGAATTAATGCGACTGCATAACAATTACAAGTATTCCTAAAATATATACCGTTATACCGCAAAAAATTGTTTATAATCCTAATTCACAATTAGATTACAAATGCGCTCCATACGGCAGTATCTACGCGAAGAGGTTTTGCGTTTGAATGTAACAACCACTGCTGATCACATTGTACTCACACCAGAGCAAGAAGAAGCCGAGTTCCAACGTTGTATGCAAGAGAATGAAGTTTGGAATCAAGCGATTGCCGCTGAACGAAATGCACGTTTGCAGAAGGACCGTGAACGACAGGCTGGCGAAATTCGAGAACGTCTAGAAGCAGCGCGTTTGCGCGAGGAAGAACGCTTGGAGCGTGCTGAAGAGATTGTTAGGCGAGAGAAAGAATTAGCAAAGACATATGTAACCCGCGAAAATCTTGATACCGCTATCGAACAGGCGCTAGCCAATCCAGTTGATTACAACTTCTCTTTGGATTTGAAAGGCAATATTTATCGAGGGCGCACCACTCTGCCAGGTGGTAAAGGTACACCAGCCACAAGTGGCGCCCAAGAGGGTGAATTACAGCAAGCTGTAGAAGCTAGAAACTAAGCGGATCGTTATCAAGTAGTATAACAGATTTTGAAGTGCTTTCCTTATACATATTTTAACGTTATTGAGTGTTGCGTTCGCAGGTCAATGGCGCAAAATAATAAAGTGAAATGAAAAGTTTGCAATTTATGTATGTACATATAAATTTGGTAATGTTTTGCATGTTTTTATTTGAAAATTTTAAATTTTTTCGCACAACAAAATTATTGAATATATGTAGGAATTTTGTGTCGCACATGCACTCATTAACAAACTTCATATTTTTCTTTTCAATTTAACGGTTCTTATGCTCCCAAGTTAAATTTGATTTCCCCATTTTTTTCTTTAACTTGTAACCTAATTGAATTAAAGTAGCAATTTACATGGATTTTCCATTTATAGATATCAGTTTCTTCATGTGTACACTGTATTACAAAAAGTAGGATGCATTGTTACTAAATTCTTTGCGCTTTCACTACGCTACCTAATTTCACAGAATATGCCTATTTCGGTTAAGCTTTTACTATGACTATAGTTACCTACAAGTAGCTGTTAAATTAAAACAACAAATAATACATAACTAAATTTATATAAACGTAAACTAATGCATTTGCGATGCTATGCTGGCTTTGGCCGCTGCCGCCGTTCCTCCTGCTCCATTAGATGTTCCCAGTCGGGTGTGGCGGTGAGTTTGGCTTGTATGGGACCCAGATTAATCATGTTACCACTACGCTCTTCTCGATTCGTATTGATCGACATGAGGTCCTGGAAAATTTAATAATTGATTGATAAGATACACTGCATAATATAAACTTTTAGCTTACCTGTAGGAAACCCGTTTCCATGCCCATATTCAGATCGAAATATGTATTGCCGAATACGAGTTTTACTTTACCCGATTTATAACGTAGCAATTTGCCAATTTTACCTTCCTCCATTTCTTTAAGAGATATACGTTTTGGAGGGGGTTTCGAAGCGGGTGGATTTTGTGATGTAGATGGCGTATCCGCTGATGCATTCTGAAAAACCAATATGAATATGCAATGTTAAAAAGCGAACTTTTAAATTAATCAAGAAAAATATTTATCGTACTTTATCCTGCAGTGTTTTATCAGCTACTTCCTCTACATCGCCTTCACATGGTAGTGCATCTGGCAGCTAAATTGTATTATTAGATTGAATTTGTATTTCTATGGTTTATCGTTGTTCACGATACGTACCTGCAGTAGTAACAATTGAGATTGTGACAAGTCCAGTAGTTCACCTACGGACGCAGGATACCGTGCCAAGGCACTATTTGTGCGTTGATGCTGCTTAACAGCCAACGATTGTAGTGTTTGTGCAATAGCGACGGCAGAATCTATAAGAAATTAAGAAAAAAAATGCAGTTATTTCTTTAATGTTTGCACAAAATGCATTTAAAAATATTTTATGCCAAGTATGATTTGCATTTTTTTTTTATGGAATGCATGAATACTATGTGATGTAGTTGGATTTTTCGCAAATTACAAAAGCACTTTTCTGCAACGTAGATACGCACTCACCGGAGTTTTCGATCTTTCCAGCTACACCGTTCATTCCAACATCTAACTTCTCAAGCTTTACTTCTGCTTTAATGGTTTTCCACTTGACTACAGTGTATTATTGGGGTAGGGTGATCGTTTAGTTAAGGTATGCATGTTTGTGTCGGCGGGAGAGTATAAATGGACAAACCAAAAATAATAAAAAAGAAAAACGCCAAGAAAGTGTAATTCGTTACAGCCAACACAATAGCTAACTAGTTGATATCCGGTAGCCGCTTAAGCACTAGCCTTCTTACTTTGCGTACTACAGGTGGTCAATTGTTTTTCTAATGTACCAAATGATCTTCTTGAAGTCGACTATATAGTGGGTTCATATTTCGACTTCCACGCACTTTTGGTTTCAAAATATGAATGTCAGACCATCACTTTTACTTACCCTCATTTAATTTGACCGGTATCTGCTCTAAATCAGTCTTTTCATCTCCGAAATCATCTTCGTCCGTATCACCCAGTAATTCACGTACATGCTCTTCATCTGCTTTCAAATCAATTTTCTTCAAGTGTTCACTTTTGATAATTGTTGGTCTACGCATTTGTGAGGCGGTTGAATCATCGTTGGTTCGACTGCCAAAGCCTGAACCTCCTGAGCTGGTTTTGCGTATATTAACAGCACCAGCACCTTCTGAGAAAACGCCGGTAGTTTGTATGAGGGACGAATTAGCAGCGCCAGCAGCTCCGCCCCGACCGCCCCGCAATCCACTGCCAGCGCCACGTCCACCACGCGCACCTCGACCGCCTCCACGACCACCACGCGCTGTGGTGTCTTTCGATGTTTTAACGTTGCTAGAAACAAAAATGATTCATGCAGTTTTATATCGTTTTAGCAACCAATGTTTTGTTTATACTATGTACAACTCACGTGTTCTTGTTGCGCACCACATTGAGGTTGGGCGTGAATACTTTTTTGGCTGCATTATTGGCGGCAGCGGCACCACCACCACGTCCGCCTAACGTTAAATCACGAGCCGGCTTCAATGATGACAATTTATGAAGCGTTGGTGTAGTTGCTGCAGAGCTGCCGTTCATGTTGACCACTTCTATTGTTGGCTTTTGTGCCGCACACAGTTTTAGCAATGCCTACTTTGTGCACACCGACGCCCAGTTCTATAAGTTTCCAGATATTACCGTCGCAACTGTTTCTGCTTTGTTGTTGAATGGCTGTTATTTGCTAATAGATGGCTTACTATGATGCACATTCCCATTCTCTGTGGACATGTGGCAAGTAAATTGTTCCAAATATATCCACTGTTTGTAAGTTTTGTTGTTGTTTTGACGGCTTCTTCCACCGATGGCAGGTTGCTTGTCACTTGAGGGCTTCTTCTTCTTATGGTGCGTATTAACAATCTATTGACTTTTTCAGAACTGCCAGATATTCAGCAATGGCTATATTTTTGTGTTCATTTCTGCTAATAGAAGTGAGGATAGATTTAAATCTTATTATAATTTAATTTGTGAAATATGAGCTGCACTATTTCGTGTGTGTGTGCAACGTGTCAACGACGTAGCGTAAACGTAGGTTGACGTACGTAGCAGCATATGAAATTTACTGTTGATAGAGAGAGAGAAGCAACGGCAAACGTCACCGCCATGCGGTGGTGAGTTTTCGTTAACATGCGAATCCCATAAAGGCCGGTCCACATAGAACTTTCGTGTTAGCTTTGGCGTTGGCGTTGGTTTGACAGAACGCACGTTAAAAGTATGCTTGCTACAATGAGCGCTTGGCAGCGAATGCTTGGGCCACTACATTAATATACTAACGACAGATAAATTAATATTTCATATCAATAATTGCATTAAAAACGATATTTCTTGCCCGCACTTGATTAAAAAGGAAAATATTTCACATAATTTTATTTATTTGCAACAGCTGACGAGCGACGCACGCGAAAAGATGAGAGTTGGCCATCTTTTTGCTTTGTGTTGGCGTGAGCGTTGTCGAATTTTGGCTATGTGGACGGCTGCATTTGAATTCATGTATTCATAGTCAGCTGTTGAAGCGACGCCAACGCCAACGCAACGCCAAAGTTCTATGTGGACGGGCCTTAAGGTAGATCGTGTCTGCGTTAACCTCCGTCTACGCTACGTCGTTGACTGTTTTCGCTTTAAGAATTCAGGTAAGTGATAAACATGAGCAATATTTTCAAGTTACAAGAATGACATTGTTATATACGACCAATTGCCATCCCCAAAGAAATGTCAAAAGTCCTCATGCCCATACAATTTTCATAAAGCATCCCACAATAAAGCGGTGCTAGCGGCGAGAAATTGGAATTTTATTTCTCACAGAGCGTCACATCATGAAGTTGGGCGCTAAAAACAGAGAGAAAGAGCACGAAAGAGAGAAAGACGAAACGAGAATAAAAACTAGAGGAAATTAGAAAACGTCAAAAAATTGTACGCATTTATTTGGGTATAGCGCGCGCTAACACTCGTTGGCGTCGCAAAACGCAACGCTTTGCGCTCAATTTTAGGGTTGCCTACAAGGATTTTTTTGATATGTGAATTTTGTTAAATAAAAGTTGTAGACATCGATCGCATGGATACATTTCCAATTCCCTCAAAACCTGAAACCTCAAAATTTTTCTCACAAAATTCACCCCTACACTTTTCACACTTTTCATCGTGTACGATGATGAAGCTAAAATACCGCCAATGTTTTGTGAGTCATGTCCGATAGCGTTTCACCTCCCCCAGCGCAAACCACCGCCGCTAGCAAGAAACCAGAAAGAAAGACCTCAAGTCGGTTTCGAGTTACATAGACTCCCGACCTTTGAATGCCGTTTTGGACACACAATCACCCGACGTGGTCGAGACAGAACTTTGTCTGCCTCGGGAGACTTGCAACTCAATACCCAATGAAAGACTCGCACTTCCTGGGCCACCGTTTAGATGAGCCTGACGACAACGTAGATGGGCGAGCCGACCCGAGCGGGGCTTAGTAGCCGTTACAACAACGCCAACAAACTCAAGTCCCTAGCCAACAGCATCTGAGGAGCCAAAACAAGAAGTCCGTACCCACGACAATCGGGTCTACTTAAACGGAACAACCCAGATCTACATATATCTGGCCAAGGACTGTCAATTCAACTCTTTGGGGAATTCTTATGCTGCTGCAATAACAACACGGACTTCCGATAATTTTTATAACGCCAGTGTGATCGGAAGAAAAATGCGTTGCAGAACTCTACGTATGGCTACAGTCAGCCATCTCATGAGGTTCGAGTATTATCCCGACGAGAAAAGCCAGTAGCTGGTGGTAAAAGCCCAAAGTATTTTGCTATCGAAACAGTTCCTCCTGAAATGCTATCATTGGAGCCAACCCAACCATCCTCTGCTTCCAACCCTTCTGTCCGCGGACGAAGAACGAACATCGCGCCACAGAAATACCTCCCGTTGAACGAGGCACGGTACAAAGTGGGTGGTTATAGATAGATATGTGAATTTGATAGATAATTTGCACTGCGACCTTGGGTGTATTGTGCCCTTAGAGCTCATCACAGAGCATCAGGAGAGGTTCTATGCGCCCGACTGATTCCAATAAGGACGACGCTTTGCATCCGCTCCAGCTTTGTTCCGAGGACTGAGTGAAATATTATGGACCATAGATCCACAAAATTACCCGAGTTATCTTCCATCTCTGACCAGTATACAGCCGCTGAGTGAAAGTTCGCCATATTTTTGAACTGGCAGCCTAGATAGGCCTAGATCTTCTACTCAGCCATCGGAATGCAGATGATGAAAACAACAAAAATAGCCCTACTCATGATATCATATCATGGCCCCACTTACATATGTAGGTTAATTTTATTTCAATGATAGAAAATAGACACATATGAAATGTACATTTTCAAATATCAAGATTTGCTGTAGTATGTGTTACGGTGGTTATACATTTCGGTGTGGCTCGAACATGATATTTTCCCCTGGAATATCTCAATTGTAATCCATCCGTTGTAGAGTTTTGTGGCTCAATTGTGTCCACTGGAGATTTCTCCCTATTTGTATCTCCTTTCGAGCGTTTATCTTTAGGTGACTGTTTCTGATCTACTAATCGTTCCTCTTCTATTTGTTCTTCCGGCTTATAACAACGTTGTATAACAAATTGAAAAAAGTCAATATTCTTGACGTGGCCGTAGAAGTCTTGACGGAATTGATTGTATTTGGGAAAAACGCGATGCTGTAGCATCGCTTTATATAGCATAGTGCGTTGTTGTTCGCGGAAGAGCCGCCGTTTATGACCTTCAAGCTTTAATTTCCAGTTATTGGTACTCCAGAGTTTCGCCAACGCAGTGCGAATACGCGGTCGTAAATAGTACTCGATAGCACTGTGGATGAGGTGTATGCAATGTTATAAATTGTTTAAACAGTTTCCATTTTAGTTATATTTCTTTTTTTTTTTAACTTACTCCTTCAAGTATCGTTGCGTTTGTTTGAAGGTGAAGTCTTCAATGGGCTCCACAAATTTGTGTATCTCAGCCGTATTGCAGAGCTGTGGCGGAATCTTCACAAACGTCCTGAAAACGGAAGAAATGCGGAATTAGAATGGTAAGTGAAGATGTCAAATAGGCTTAAAAACTAGAGCCTTGGATATGAGATGTTTGTAAATTGCATTCATGGCGATCAATCGCCGTCACTGCACGTGTGCTCAGCGATCTCACATTTAGCAAACACTCGATCCAATCAAATATATAACATTATATGCACATTTTAGTGGGACCATTTCGGCTATTGGTCCTGACGTGATGAGAAATAAAGGGCAGCAAATCATTGGTTCGCTGACTAAACAATCTTAGATTCGAAATCATATTTCATACGATAAGGTCATTTGAGTATTTTTCTCAACCAGACAAAATTTAAAGATACATATTTCCAAATATCCTCCAACAGCCAATGCGAGTAATCGTAGACGCATGGAATCAAGAACTGTCTAAGATTTACTATATTGCAGAAAATAAATATGTATCAGTTGCTGTGATAAACTGGATAACTGCAAAAATATTAAAGATTGTAGTCCTAAAGCCCTCTACAACGCATTCTTGAAGGATGAGTTCCAACAATATCTCCGAAGGGATTTTCCTAGCTTCAAGAAACCACGAGAAGAGTTAGAAAGTTGAAACGGGTAAATGCACAGCCCTAACCAGAATATTCTGAGATTTAACGCCATGCGTCTGACTTAAGGTTACTGGGCGCTTAGCTTTCGCAGGTTTTGGACACTCTAGTATTCTTGGATACAGTCAATGCGCCGGCTTGGACATGTTGTACGCATGGAAGACGAGGCAACTGGCGCAAATCCGCCAATAAGAGAGGAAATTGGCGAAGTTGTTTAGGTCTCGGCCCAATCCGACGAACGATTGTAGTGCCAAATAAGAAGTATTCTTGAAGGTTTCGACTTAATCCATGACAACACTGATTACTGTGAGGCTAGACTGGCACCAATGAGTTTATGCTCCACTAGTATGGCCTCTAGGGTTGAATAGACACGAGGCAGTAGTTTGAAGGAGACAACGGTGAACTTCAACACAAATGGGTCGAAGCTTGATGGAAGAGCGAGTGAAGGGTCTTTTGAAGGAAGCTTTACATCAACCCCAAAGTTAGGGTTCCATACCACTGTAGTGTTTTTCAGGCAGAGGTAGCTGCCATTAAGAAGGCAGGCGGTCGCTCGTGTCAGCTCACCAAACTTAGCAGGACCGGCGACAGCCAAAGGATTTTCTTGGCCTTACAACGCAGTAACTTTAAATTTTGGGGGTGCGTTGACAGTTCACTGACGGATTGGTATTTACTTTGAATACTTTAACCAGCTATGAGGAAATCCTCGGAGGCTAGCATATATCATCTGCGAAATTTTGATCTAGGCAAAAATCATTTGCCGCTATAACATAGTAGTTACTCGTTCGTTGGGGTAACACAATGAACTGAGGTTTATGGTCCAAGTGTGGTCTTGCCTGAGACAACCATGTTAACCTTAAACTTTTATTTTATTTTATTTTATTTTATTTTATTTTATTTTATTTTATTTTATTTTATTTTATTTTATTTTATTTTATTTTATTTATTTTTTGTTTTATTTTATTTTATTTTATTTTATTTTATTTTATTTTATTTTATTTTATTTTATTTTATTCTAATTTGTTTTATTTTATTTTGCTTCATTATAATATTTTATTTACATTTCCTTTTTAAATCTTATATGATTTTATTTTACTTGATTTAGTTTTGTTTTATTTTATTTTAATTTTGTCGTATTTAATTTAGTTTAACTTTATTTGATTTTATTTTATTTTGTAATTTGTATTTTATTTTATTTTATTCCTTTTTAAAATTTGAATTTTATTTTGCGAAAGTTGTTTAGTTAATTTAATTTCTGATTATATTTTGTTTTGTTTTATTTTTTTGTCCTATTTGAAATTTTTAGTTTCTTTTGCTTTATTAATTCATTTACTTTTATTAATTTTTTAATTTTTGTAGTAGTTTTATTTGTTTCCATTCACAGTATTTATATTAATTTAAGTTCGCTTTAATTTAATTCGATGTGATTTCATTTTATTTTATTTATTTTCATTTTAAATGAATACAATTTTGTTGTAGTTTTTAGTTTAGTTAAATCTTATTTCATTTGGTATTATTTGATTCTTAATTTTTACTTACTTTTGCTTTAGTTATTTAATTTTTTTATTTTATTTTGTTTTATTTGATTTACTTTATTTTATTTTAATTCCTTTGCTTTATTTATTTAAATTTTTTCATTTTTGGTTCTATTTTTTTATTTTGCTAAAATTAATTTTATTTTAATATTGTTATTGAGCTTTGTACCACGATTATGTTTAGTAGGAAAAATGGAAAAAGCAACACAACAACTGCTACCGCTTAGACAGCTACCATTTCGGAGATCGCCATGTCTCCTTATCAGACTTCTTTATCTAGACTTCAGCAAGGATCGAACTCGCATCATCGATGTGCAAAGTCAGAAGCGCTAACCACTGAGCTATTCACACCCCGTGATTTTATTTTATTTTTTAAGATTTTACGATATTTTGTTATTAAGTATTTTGCTTTTTTATTTTATGTTCATTTACTTATTTTATTTTTAAGGAAAGTTTAAGTGCCTGTAAAAGAGCCATATGCAGAGCGAGGAGCTTTTACATTGCCCGCGTCAATTGAAATTGTACAGAAAGCTCTACCCGAGGGCAAGGCGATACGTATTACTGCCATAAAATCATATTCACGTTCATGAATTACGCGACTGAATGCAATGCGGAAAGACTGTCGTATCGCCAACAAACAAGTTTAAAAGCTTTTGAGAGAACCACTTCTGCACAATTTCATCATCGAAAGCAAAACCATTAAATAAATAGAATACATAAAGCTCTAGGCAGCTACAGTTGCTTCTCAGTCAACAATTAGAACGCTATCAACAAGTAAACTGCAGTACTCCAATAACAAATAATAAGCAATTAGCAAAACAAGTATTAAGTTTAAATTATGAGTGACGCTAATAAAGCTATTCCCGAATATCTAAGCGAAGATACATTTAATAACTTACTTTTGCAAACATTCGAGCGACCAGCACAAATTCGCTCTTTACAAGTGATACCACAAAAATCATTTGGCAATTATTGCAGCGATATTTATCGTGTAACGTTGAAATACGACATCAATGATAGTAGCGTAGATAAAAGTGACAATGATAAGGCAGGTGAAGTGGCTCAACGAGCACCAGCGAACGGAGAACAACGCGTATTGCACGTGCTCGTTAAAGATTTATTTGAAAATCTCAGCACAATTTCGAATGAGAAATTCATGTACGCACAAGTATTGCCCGAGATCAATAAAACGCTAAGAAGTTGTGGTCTACAACCGATCTCACCAATGTAAGTACATATGTATGTATCTAACTCATTTGTTGCGTGTGTGAGTGTAAGAACAGTGAGGCGTTATAGGGGTTCAAAAAATGAAATTTTCGAAAATTTTCTTTATGTAATATTTTTGCTATAAATACATTTACTCTTAGGGTATATTATACACTAAAGACTGCAGGTGAAACACATTTCTTCGAGGATCTGACGCCACGCGGCTATGTAATACGTCCGCGCACGATTGGCTACAATGAAGATGAGACGCGTTTGCTTTTCAAGCGTTTGGGAGAATATCACGCCGCATCGCTTATCTACACAGAATCGGTAAATATTTTTCTATCAAACGCAAATATTTCCTTCGGCAAAACTGTCTCAAAATTGACATATCATTAGTATCCAGCCGTGCAGGCTAAAATGCGGCAATTCTATGCGGTCAGTGATCCAGCGCTGGAGCTTGGCATTGAAGACCAAATGTATGACAATATAGAGCATGTCGCTAAGATTATGGAAACTTGGCCTGGATATGAGAGCATAATTGCGAAAATGCGAAAGCATACCCGCGAAGTATTTCGTAGCAAATTCCTGCCGTTATTTGATGCCTCACAAGCTAAGTTAGCTTTGGTTTTACATGGCGATATGTGGATTGCAAATTTACTAATGCAGTATAACAACAATGATGGCAAGGCTGAAGATGCAGTATTCGTAAGTAGCTGTAATCGAGTATTTTAAAATAGAACGAAATTGAACAACTCTGCTCATCTTACTACTTCCAGTTGGACTACCAGAATAGCTGCTATGGCAGTCCTGCCATCGATATCCACAATCTATTTATGACAAGCGTACAATTGTCTGTGTTAGCGCATAGCTATGATGCTATTATTGCGCATTATTATGCTGCTTTTCGTTCAACTTTGTTGGTAGCGAAGTATCCGGTAGAACGCATTCCTACATTGCGGTGTATTGTGGATGAACTGCATCGTACCGATTACTTTAACTACTATCTACTTATTTTTCCATTCGCTCAAACTATGCTTAGTGATGAATTGGTGAAAGGTATGAATTTTAATGAGCTTCAGGATAAGCAGCGTGTGGCGCTTAATCGCGCGGATATATACAGCAATGAGCGTGTTTTGGAGACGTACAAATATATGTTGAAGGCATTCGATGAAAGAGGCTTACTTGGTTAGTGCAGTGAAGAGTTTCTGGTGCATAATTTATGGCTGTACAGTTTGCAAACCTTAGATTCAGTATAGTATGTGGTTATATTTTTAATACAAATTTGGATAATTTTAATATTTTTGTAAGCTTGCTAATAAACTTGAAATTTTCGATGTGACTCCACGAGCTTGTTTGGTGTTCTAAGGGGACTTTAAGCCAGTTCTGACCAATGATAATAGTTATCTGAATGAGTTGCGGAACGAAAGCGGAGCCAGTCGCACATATCCTCTGCGAGTGCTCTGCCTTCAGTGGACTGCGGTTTGGCCTCCTAGGAACAGTCTTTCTGCCTAATCTGGCAGCCGCCGCCAAAACAGGGTACCACAAGGTGTTAAAGTTTGCCAAGATAACTGCAATGTTTTTCAACGTTACTCCCGCTACTCAGCGATTAGCCGTTTGAAGTTGTGGTGGTTTACCTGATAACGCTATGGAGCTTAATGGTCTCTGCAAAGCCACGCAGTAGCTAATCAGCTTAACCTAAACCAACCTAACATCGAGCTTCAGTCCTAGAGAGCATAACTAAGCAATGGTAGTTGGTCTTGTTACTTTCAAAAGTTAAAAAGTGTGAAGAACTGTTTTGCATTTCTGAAAATGTATTTAATACTACAGCCCAAGGGCTTCAAAAGGCCCAGGCAAAAGGGAAAATGATTACCCACTTTACCGATTTAACTACCCTGGAACTGGAATCGCAATCCAGAGAGATCAGACCGTAGAGCTCCCTTGTTTACTCCAAGCACTTCAGGCCGATCAGTCTCTCATCGTTTCTACTGAAAACGTTGGAGAGGTTGGCTGGTTGACCTGCACATAAGGAGCGGAATTCCTCGAGATCGCCTACCAAGAGCTCAACACGATTATCATAAAGGAAAGTCAGTAGAAACCACCATGGCCTCGTTGGATAAGATTGTGGTTGAAATCAGGCTCATTCGGCTTATCAAAAACTTACTCCGTGACACAACTGTGATAGTTATATGGCGCAGTGCTTGAGTGCTATTGCAAAGAGATGAGGTATTTCACCCAAAGTTGTCTATTGGCTCTACGAGACGAAGCCTATTATGTTTTATAGCGCCCTAGTATGGCGAAACGCACTTGAAAAGGCTACACTAGCTAATCAGCTGGAGCACGTGCAACGGACTGATTTAATTGGTATCCCACACTTGCACTTAACGTAATGCTGAATGCAGTGCCTGGCGACATTGTAGGCAAAATTGCCGCAGCGCGAACTACTGAGCTATTAGGCTCAGGGAAACCAACAGGTTGACCGACTTAGGGACTGGACACTCCTGAGTTCTAGGGGGATTCGATTTCCCCTCTGATCGCATGAATTACTGCGCCACAGAAACGACTCCTAGGAGCTTCTTATCTGCCCACTTTCCCTCAAGAAAATATTGGGCTGGGCGGAATTCTGGATAGGGGGAGCAGTGAACCTCTTTACGGATGGATCGAAACTGGACGGCGGGGTTGGTGGAGGGGTCTTCTATCGAGAGCTTTTCAGCAGTGTATTTCAGGCGAAGGGGGCTTCTAGGCTCACAGCGACATTGCGGGGAACTGTGTGGCAAGTTACTCTTGAAACGTTATCGCCGGATAGAGGTGTTGGGGGTGCGATTGATCACATTTGGTACGCTCTTGGACAGTTGGGCCGCATGACAGCTTAGCGAGCGTTGGGCGAAAACCAGGACATGTGCGATTGCAAGGTCCTTCTGGCCGAAGGGAGGCAGGGGCGGTCGACGGCACTCCTCACACTTATAAACCCACAGCTCTTAATCTTGGTGGCGGTTTTAACGAGTCACTATCAATTTAGTAAAAAGTCAATAGTTGTGATAGTATATTCATAGTTCAATTTCACAATCGCATGTAAATAAACTGCAAATAAAAGCTTTACTATGCATCTCTCTTCATATCGGCATATGCAAGTACTATTTGTTGCAATGAGTGCTTGCAATATTTTAAATCAGTTGCATTAGCGCTTTTTCACGCGTCAGTCATTGAAAATTACGCTTTTTGCGTTTATACGAAATTTAACAGCGAAGAAATAGCGATTATTTCATTAAGAGAAGAGTGTCTTATTATCGGAGTAAACAAAGTGTATTAATAAAATGTCCGCCAACCAAACTGAAGCGACATTTCCGCCAACCTACCTCAATGGCGACTACATTAAGCGTGCGCTGGAAAGTCATTTTAATGGCGCCAAAGTAAGCAGCAACAAATGCAAAGTAGAAATACTGGAATGCCACTGGAAGCGGGCAACGGAGGATGGTGAGAATTTTTGCAGTGTCATCTATCGAGCAAATGTGCATTTCCACTTGCACTGCGCAGGTGCGCAAAATTCGAATGAAAAACGCGAACTAACGGTTATTGTGAAGGACGTTAATAGCGATGTAGCGGAGGAGGGTTCAAATGAGTGGGCAATGTATGAGCATGTACTGCCGGAAATGCAGAGCATACTAGAGAAAGCTGCTAAGAAAAATCAAAATGGAGATGCGGCAATAATGCCGAAACTTTATGCAAAGTAAGTAACGTATTGGGTGTATTCTACGTTTCTAAAAAAAAGTTACTATTTGAAAAATTTTATTCGGATTTCAGTTGCTTGTTTTGTGAACATAATGAGAAGGAATGAGGAGAGCGCAAATCGTTTTATTGGCATGGATTTGGAAGAAGCGAAGATTACATTGAAGAAACTCGCACAATTTCATGCTGTCTCAATGAAGTATATAGAAAATTTGAGTGTAAATTTAATGCATACACAGCTAACTTATTAACTAAAAAAAAAAAATTAAAATTTTACAACTTATTAATAGTTCCCTACTGAATCAGCTGCACTCCGACCATCAACCTTTGACAGTGAAATGGACATTGAGAACGATGGACTGGATGGCATACGTGCATCTTATAATATTGTCACAGAATGGATAGACTTCGAAGATATTGCGGCAAAAATGCATATATCTGTAAAAAAATTTGATGAATGTGCAAAGAGAATAATGCGACCAAAACGATGTAATTTCAAGGTTATTACACATGGTGATCTATGGTCAAACAATATACTCATTAAGTACGCGAGAGTGGAAGGTGTGCAGGTGCCACATGATGCGGTGTTTGTAAGTGAATTGTTGTTATTTTGTAGAATACTTGTTTTTTTTGTACATACATATGTACTTATACATACTACTTTTGATATGTAGGTCGACTTTCAAGTGGGCTTCGTTGGCAGCTGTGGATATGATCTAAATTTCTTTCTCAACACTAGCATACAATTGAATGTTTTGAAGCTACACCGCTTTGAACTGCTACGCTTTTATTACACCCACCTAAAGGCGACTCTCAAACATTTAGATACCGAAGCTGCTGCCATACCCAGCTGGCAAATGGTGGTTCGTGATCTTGAATTTGTTGGTTACTATGGCTTGACTTGTGAACTACCGACATGCTGCATGAATCGGGGCATTTCACCAGATTCACCAAAGATATATGAAAGCAAGCGCTTTTTAGAGATGTTGCGTTATGGAGTAGATCGTCTTAATGAATTGGGTGTATTGGATTTGTAATGCTATTTTTATGCGAATTCGGCAAATGCTTTAACTTTTCAAATTTAAAATCGTTGTAGAACTTAAGCCATCAAGTATTTTGAAGTTTAGATTCTCGTGCTATGGATCAAATCTTGTTAGAAACTGCTGTCTTTGTTTTTTTCCCATGAGGCTATTAAATTTTAATCGACCTGTCCAATGAAGCTATTCATTAAATGAGTTATGCACCAGGAGGTATTGGCCCAGCGCTTTCTGATAGAGTTAAATACTTGGGATTGAATCTAGATGGAAAGCTGTCGGAAGAATAATATCGAAGTGAAGAAGAGACTCTGTAATGGCGTTTGGAGTCGGGAGGGGGGTGGCGAGAGGCGGGGGTGAAATAGGTAAAATATGAGCCCTCTCACCCAAGGTTATTTCCTAGCACTATAAAGCAACAGTTTGTCTGGTGTAATGCAAATCAGTGAGGCACATTGAAACATTCCCACACTAACTCTGAACATCGTGCTGGCAACTATCGATATCGCAAGGAAGGTGGTTATGGAAAGGTCTACCCGTTACCTAACTGAATCGGAAACCGTACACTCTAATATTCTTAAAAGCTTCAACTTATATACTGATAACAAGGACCACTGCGTGACTTCTCTAGTAACTTATTAGCTAATTTTCCACGCGCATCCCATTAGGGATGAGTGTACGCAGGGCAGTGATTGGTTAACTTAAGCACGAATTTGTGGACGCTTGAGGGAGTGGTTTGTGGAGGGCACTCTCCATCAAACTACAATTTAGGCTTCCAGATCGCTGTAGTACGCAACAACCTTGATATTTTAAACTTAGGCTCGCAAAAGAAAAAACCACTGTGAAGGAAATACTGAAATGATTCCACTAAGCCATTCTCCAAACAGCAATGGTCCAGAACAATGGTAAGTCGTACCGAGTGGGTTCCTTATGAACAGTATTTTATCAGGACTCCAGACAGAACAAAGAGTTGGCACCCCGCCTGCAGAGGAATCTCCTTTGTCCGCCCCAGAGCCAGAAACACTTTGCATGTCGGAGTTCATGCCCAGCGCTCGCTATAAGCCCATCTGCTCAGGTGCAGTCAACAGTACTTCAAGGGTATTCCGCATAGCCAATTCATCAGCCTGCAGTTTTCTACAATGACACTCGATTTCGATCGAACCATGACTCACTGTCGCTTAGCTATCGACTGCCTCATTCAAAGCAGTCACCTTTGTCTGAAATATTCTGCAGAAATCCGGGAGCCTAAAGTTGAGATTAATGAGTACCAACAATGTAGTTTCCATTTCCAAAATACTCCTCTAAGCTTTAGCGATTGTATGCAAGTAAATTCTACTGCCTCAGGTTAAGAAAGACTCAATAGTTCCAGAGAAATCCTATTTCTTATATACAAGTCCATCAGTTTCTAGAGGGTCCTTTAAACGAAGGAAGAGAGAGACTTATTCGTTTGAACTCCTTCGGCGACACGTGGGAGCTTCTTTCTCGTCTTGGAAGTAGACGTTGCCCTCACAGTTATTTAGGTTTTAACTGTATTATTGACTGTCTATGACAACTCCAGCGCATGAATCACGAATATTCATGGCAGCTTTCAATGGTTTTGCCGGATTTCCTCCGTAAGTCACATTTACGTCCAGTTTTAAAATGAGCAAAAAATTTTGTAAATTGAAAACATAATTTTCTACTTACTTTGCCGTCAGAACGAGCGGAAACGTTTCACTTATCGGTGGTACACGTTCTCTCTTAAAAGTAAATCGTGGAAATTTCTTCATATCATTAACGAACCAAGGATAATCGTTTGTCATTAGTTCATTAATGTTCTTGAGTTTTTTGAGTTCCGTCAATGTATTGCTAGCTGAAAAGCTATATTCAGTTGGTTTTGGTAGATCAAAAACAAAGCGGAGGCCTAAATGTATAGTAGAAAATTTAATAATAACCAACGAATAGATTTTTTTTAAGATCACTAACCTGTTACATGACAATCCGCATTCTGATGCTCCAAAAAGTAAAACTCTCTCGATTTGGGTCTTTGATAATTCTTAAATTGCGATATCTGATCGACGATGTATTGAAAGAGATCGGTAATATTTTTCATGTAATCGAAATGTATTTCGAGAGTATCGCTGGAAGAAAGAAAGTAAAATAAATAATGGTTTTACCATTGGAAGCGATAATGGTAATGATAGTGATAATGGTATTGGTATTGGTAATGGTGAAGGTTATAGTAATGGTAAGGGGAATGATAGTGGTAATGGTTGCGGCTGTGGTGATGGTTATGTTTATGTTTATGTTTATGGTTAATTTTATGGTTATGGATATGGTTGTAGTTATGGATATGGTTATGGTTAAATTTATTTTTATGGTTATGGTTATAGTTAAGGTTATAATTATAATTATGGTTATGGGTACGGTTATGGTTAAGGTTCGTGTTATGGTTACGGTTCCTGTTATGGTTATGCTTATGGTTATGGTTACGGTAATTAAAATTATAGTAGCAATGGTAATAGTTATGATAATGGTACTGGCGATAGTAGTGCTAAGGGTATGCAAATACCGATTTCCCGGCAGCAAAACCAGTTTTGTGACTCTCTGGAGGACTTTCCGTTTCAAGAGTTTTTAAAGCTTTTTATTCATAAGAAGGAAAGTTTTCCTTTCAAAACATCTCATAGTTTAAAAGAGGTCTGCATTTGGCTCACCTTGACGTTAAGTTTCAAGTTGCTTGTCATAATTAAAATCAAGCAGTTTTTATGCATACATTTTTTATATTTTTTATAGCTTGAGAGTGCACACACGTACCTACACCCATACGCCTTTTGCATAGCTGCAATTTTCCAGTTGATAAAACATTTTCATTTGCATAATAGTAATAATAATAAACGTACACATACTACTCATACAATAATATATAATGACAATAATGCAATGAAGGCAATGATGCAGTGAAAGGGAGTCGTAAGCATGCCTAACGATGCGCGAGCCATGCTATGCACTCTCGCATGTGACCATATAAATATGAATGTGTCCGTTGTGCACATGGATCTATGTATCTATGTATGTATGTGTTTGCACACCCATGACAGCACTAATCATAAATGCAAAGTACATATCACTAGTATGTATTATCGACGATACTGCATATCCTCTTAACTGTACTTGGCTGTCTATCACATTTGAGTGAAGCGTTCACATTTCGTTCCTCAACTGTCACAGTTAGAAGGATGTAAGACGGAGTTATGTATAGAAGCAGTTAAGTGAAGAAGGAGCTATGGCATATCAGTATATTGTCAGTGTATTGGTACGCTGCTTAGCAAGCGAAAGAGTTGCAGCATCTAGTGCGTGCAGTTTGCTGAATGAAGTTTTCAAGTGGTACTGAAGTTTGTAGTCTGTGTTGAGCTATGGATCGCCGCCGAATCAGTTGAGCGCTTCGTGTGGAAAAATCTTTAAGGCATTTAGCGCTCAAGTATTTGCATTAGTGGCTTTGTTGCCAGTTATCTACTCATTTGCACGCAATTTTGTGGTGGAAAAAATCGATGACGCGTTTGCTCTGTTGCAGGTGAATGACAGCTAAATAATGCAATAGAATAATCATGGGCAAGGATGGTGATGACATTATCCTATACAGCTTTTTTCCTCCTGAATAGGTATGTGTGAGTCGAGTAGAGCAGAACACATGAGATTATTATACCCGGGTGCAAGGCCTAGTTCGCGAAAAAGAATCGCATCATTCAATAGGTGGACATGTTCAATGAACCAGATCAACATGTCAAAACTTATATCCCGCTCGGATTCATGGATAGAAATGTCAACGACTGTTACATACGTCGAAAACAAGAATTCTTCCTCGGATACCGCTGTAAATGGGTCAGCATGACTCCAGTCTGAAAGTCTGCCCGACACCTTTTAAATTAACAGCCATGTAAACCGCTGGTAAACACAAACTCACTGGTGAAAGTGCACAGCTGGTGTGTGAGGGCAGTTAAGTCCTGAATTTCCGATAGACCTTACCAGCCTACACTATACGTCGAGAGCAGTCAGGATTGTTCTCCTTGAGGAAAGCTCCAAAACGGCATTCAATACTGGAAGATGGCTTTAGGCCTTACGCGAGCAGGTTCAGGTTCGCTGACGCTATTGGCGACAAACACTCATTGGGTAGCCAAACAGCGAAGATTCCTCAAAGGTATTGAAATGCATGACCAGGCGTCTCGAACGCTAATGGAAAGAAGTCCCTCCTTCTATAATGGCCCAGAGAAACTGTAGTTCTGCATCTAGAATGCTTACGGGATTTGAGAATAAACTCATGTTTTAGGATAAAAACGGAGCTGGGTCTAGGATATCCTGTTCGTCAACCGAAACCGAAAGGAACCCCGACCAAAACCTACACCTGCAAAAGATAGACCGTACCAGAAAACCATAAGGAGCACCGGACAGAAATCTTGCAGTGGACTACTGGAAGTCCATTCCTCCAGGTCTCTTGATGATGTATATATAATGATACCCTTTAATTGCATTCTGGTCCCGCAGACCTAGACCCGGACGCGTAGCACTTGCGTGATGTGGCGACGAAAGATCGGCGATGATCTACAAGGAGCGATCTCTTAGCTGGGGGCTCCGTCCCGGTGCTGAGCTTGTAGGTGTAAAGAGGGATGAGATTCCCAGTATACCTTTGGATAACGTCAGGATCCCGCAGGAATAGAGCAGATCCCTCCCTCCAATTGGAGAGTGGTGATAATGAGAAAAGTAAGAGAGCATACGTGGTACGTCACGTTCATGATAAACGAGGACCCGCTGCCACATTTACATGATTGTGGCGGAGTACTTAGCTACGGATTTTATTCTCTCAACCTTAAGACCCATAAATAAAATGAGGAGGGATTGGCTCGGTAGACACCGCCAATGAAACCGTTGAATACTCTTTAAGGAAAGACTAAGGAGACGCCCGAGCGGGCTTATGATTCCTCTTCCAGCAGAAGCATCGGAAGGTAGTGGGCCAAAAAGGGGTAATGCTGACTCTATGTTTCAAGGAGAGTGGTAAATAGCGCTAACTAAATACTCTGTAAATTTTTTATTAGAAGCCAGTGCTATATCAATTAAGCAAGGAGTACTTTAGGCATAACATCATATTGGAGCTGAATAAATCAATAGCAGCAGCCTCACAAAGCACATGGTTTGTTCTGGCTTCACCAAATTAAAAAAACGAAATAAACTGAATGTTTCATATAACGTCAGGATGTAATATTGTCAAATTCGTTAATAACTCGGTAATCAATCTCCCATTGAAGTCCAGACTGATATTGGTCGCAACGCTCGAGTAAAATTACACGAGACATTCATTCATTCAAAAAAAAAAAAGATCTCTACTGGAGCTTTGTGTATTTCGTTAAAATTTTCATTGATAAAATTTATAGCGTTCTACTTCCAGAATTCAATGCAAGGTATTGTATCCAAGAAAACAACGAGTTCACATATTTGGAGACTACTTCTTTAGCTTACCGCACTTTGCCCATTGCCGCATCGTAACGTTCCAAATCCATTGTGAGTTCACACGCATCTTCGGTAGTCGACATAGTGAAATCATTACCACAATTAACTTTTACTACTGTCTGCACGATAATCTCCTGCTCGATCGTCTGATCCAAATCAACAGAAGTGTGCAGCTCAATGCCATCCGTGTGAAATGAACTACTTTTGGTACGAAAAGTTGAAATGTGTGCTGGCAGATGCTTCTGTGTATTGCCACTGGCACTGTCACCCATTATGGTGGTAAAGTTTGGTATCTCCGTGTATTCGTCCACATGTTGACCATCGATTACGGGTATGATTTTATATATATAGGCACGTATACCGTCAATGGCTGTTATGCTAATGACAATATCATTTACTGGCACTTCATATAGCTCGAAATTTACTTCAGCATATTTTTTATGTAGCATATTAAAGCTGGCCATGCGATATGTTACATACGAGGGATCTTCAACTCTGCCCCCTTCTTCGCCTTCACCACCATTGACCAAATATTGTGACAACGTTGGAAAGATACGTGGAGATGCGATGGTTGGTTTCGTATCCGCTTTGCCAGTGAATGAGGTACCCTTGGAGTGGCGACCATCGATCAGTATGTGACTGGTCTAGGCGGGAGTGTAAATGCAGAAATATAGGCTTAACCAATTAGATTGTAAAATTTACCAATAAGTCATCAAAGTCTCCATCACCATATTCTTCTTCTAAGTGTGAAGAGCTCAACGTCAGTGCGGTATCTAAAAGGTGTAAAACGAGCATTGCCACCATTTATGGCGCTGAAGAAAAGTTAATTTGCTTACCTGCTTCAAAGCTGAATAACTCGATTTTCTCAGCCAGCGTTGTTATCAGGAGTGTGCCATCTTCGTGGTAACACTTTAATGAGTCTACTGTCCAGATCATGCGGACACCATCGGCGCGTTGGGCGTAGCTCTCGTTGGCAAAGTAATCATGCCATTCCAGCGTAGGCTGGGAGTGTCCTCTGTAGACCTGAAATTGGAGAATGTGTATGGTTTTGTAATACATTGTAAAAGTTCTTAAATCAGAAGGAAACAATTTTTTATTTAAGCGAAACCTCGGAGTAAGGTTAAAAAATAAAATATGGAAGCGAAGTCGGGTACACTGATACGTGAAGAAAAGCAAGCAGTCCACATATAAATTCAGGCATTAGATTTTGCAGTCAGGAACATCCGACTGTATTTTAACGGAATCTCCAGAATACCTGCCTGTCTCCGAGAATACCAGGGCATAGGGCTCTGCTGTGGACGCCCGTTATTTTGCCCAATTTGTCTCATTCGGTCGCTGAAAGATTACTTCGGAAAAAGCGACCAAAGAACCAGATCAACGCGAAGTCCCAGTTTTATGAAAGCATAAATTCAAAACTTCTTAGCCGTTGAATTGGAACCGAAAGAGACTGCACGGCTCATATATACTAGAAAACCAGTCGCCTTGCGCCAACAACAGCAAACCCAAGCAGAAAACGTTTGCCATCTGACGCCAAGCTAAGACTGTAAGGCCTACAGCCTTATCAAATCAGCTATCAGCATTTAAAGCCGACGGTGCAGCTAAAATCCAAACACTTTGCATTCTTCTAGACTTTTTAACCCTCTACGGGATCTGAGAGATTTTAGCGATGCTGCCTGAGAGCATTAGGTGCTGGCAGCCATGAACAGGGGCACCCGTAAAGAAACCGCAGGCTCGTCCAAGTGGTCTCTTCCGTGGGTAAGCAAAGAGTCTTCGGAAAAGTTCTAGACCTGACTCTGTTGTACGCGACGCTGGCTTATACCAGGCCCGAATTACATAAACTGGCTTCTGGTGCCGATGAGAGATAGGCCAGCTTATACAAGGAAATCATCTTCGCTCTGGGAAAAATGGATGACATAGAGGCAGTGCATAAGAATGAGATCTCTGGCAAATCGCAAGCCAGACTTTAGGTCTCGGAAGAATTTTAAATACCGTAAGAGATGCTGAAACTCGGTTACATATATGTCAAACGTAATACTATCAACCTTTGATTCGATAATAGTAATGATCAGCACGGCAATAGAGCAGCAAAGTTATGTCGCCTAGGTGATAAACGAGTTTATTCTTCAAATCGCTACGGCTTATACTCAATGACGATAGAAAGCCTGATCCGGGTAGCACTGTGATTAGACCTGGTGCCAAGAATATGCCGCCTAAAAACGGCACCATTTCTATGGAAAAAGCCGGATCCGAGAACAATCTCATTTGGCTGAATGAAAAGGGATCGCTCGAAGCGCCCCCGGCGCCAGAAATGTAAGGAGGAGACTCTCCGAAACTGTAAATAATGCAAGTTCTGCAGATAAAATCTCATCACTCAAAAGCATCCACTGCAACTCTGGTAGTTCACCTCAGCGAAAGGGGAGCTTATTTTTAACCAAGGACCCTGTGTTGATAAAAACAAGGTTTGCGGACTGAATTCTGAGATAGCACAGTCCCAGCGGCAAATAAGATTTGAGCATATATGTACATATAGGGGGCATCTGTGTGCAGAACCAATCCACGAAACTCCGTTAGGTCTGGACCTAGTTCCAAATTGATCCAATAGTACATTCCAAGATCTCAGGTAATAGAGTCGAAACAAAAAAATACAAAAGAATCTACGGTTAGAAATCCAAGCCGGCCTGGGTTTCCGGAAATAGGTACAGCGAAAGCAAAGAGGGAGTACGACAGTCGGGTCTCCGTAGCCAGAACGATCCAGATTTATAACTGGCCAAGGAAGTTCACTCCAGCATCACTTCCCAAAAAATCTGGGGAATTTGTTTGCTGTTGCAACAACAAAAAGGGAGCTGATGAAATGACGAAGGCAGGAGCCTGTTTGTAGGAACCTGAACCGGTAGCATTTGAATGATTTCTTCGTTTAATCCACTTTCAAATTGAACTGAATTGCCTTAGACTGTGGTTAGACATACATATGGTCAGATATACGGACTCCCAAGATATCCAGGGAACTCTGGCCCGACTACAGTATGACGCATACCTCGTATCTGCCTTAATAGATCAAGGACAGAAGTATTCAGAAACACCGACCCTCGCTGCAATAAAACATATCGCTGCTGTTATCTAGAAAATCATGAAGAAAGTGCCCAGGATTTGGGGTGTGAATATCGCGATCTGGCGAATATTAGGTATGAAATGCATATGGTAGCGCAAATAGAGAATGTATCTGGGGCTATCATAAGCGAAGTCGGAAAATTCATCAGGGGATGCCCAGATGGTTCGACCAAGCAATACACAAATTAAACCCAGTTTTCACGACAAGTCCATTCAAATGGCGCTAAACGCGCACATATTGTGTCGTAGGCAGCTACTAGGAAGTGTTGCAATTAACAGGTCTAGACGAAGGAGTATCATTCAAAGCTAGCTACTTCTTAAGCAATTTTGTTTTCGGAAAAACTTTCACATAAATCACAAAGCTACTCACCTTTCCGCGATGTGTTAGGTTAATAATAAATCCCATTGAGGTGGTCACAATGAGGTGCAAATACTTCAGGTCATATTTATCGGATAACTCATTGACAAATCTTAGTTCATTGTTGATAGACTCAATAAGCAATTCCTTTGCAGCTTTTCGTTTAACGGGCTCTTCCAACTCTACGGTGCGATGGGATGATGGCTGTTCTGGCACCTTTGAGGTTTTATTCTTCTTCGCTGACACTGCGCCGCCGCGCGTACGTACTGATTCTTTGAGAGCGGCTTTTCCACTTTTGCTTTTAACTTTATCCGTTTCTTGCACTGTTTCTTTGGCTCTTTCATACCCTGCTTCTTTCTCCTGTTTACTATCCTGTTGTATTCGTTGTGTCGTTTCCTTGTTTGCTGTGCTATCTCTCGGCTCTATTTTTATTGAAGAATCCGGTTCTTCGGTCATTTCGTCGATGGCTTCTTCCTCGCCTTCGGCAAGTTCATATTGGTACAAACGGTAAACTTCGCCGTTATAACGCAACACCATAATTAAATCCTCGCTTTGATAGTGGACAATAACCGCACCTTCTGGTACGTACATGCGTTGCTTCTCCCTGTTGACCGTCTCTTCCGTATGCCATTCTTGATCGACATAAGTCTCATTGTGATAAATAGCCAAACCATTGGGATAATTGATGACAACTTTTGCACATTCGGCTTCTTTATTTAGCACGCGTACAGCAACGTTATTCTTGTTGGTAAATCGTAAGCAAGGTGAGATGCAGGTGTTCCAAAAGCGTGGCCGAAAGATGTTGAACACATTGCCATTAACTTTGAAAATCAAATTCTTGTTCATATCTGTGAAACACCAACGCTCCTCGTATAATTCCAAGCCGCCTTCCTCAAAGTAGTACCTCGAGTTCTTTATCTGTATCTCTTGACGTATATCTTCAAGGTTGTAACCCTTTAACAGCGGGTGGTCGAGTGGCAATCCGGGCTTTTCTGTCTCGTTCGCAGACTCGTTCAGTGTTGTCTTTTCACGTGAATTCAGTTCAGGTATAGGTGGTGGGCCAGCAGCTTGTCCCATTTGTTTGCCCATATAAGCTTCGACTTTTTGCCATTTTAGCGACGTGGGACGTATGAATATTGACATATTTAATCCCTTAACAGTATTCTCCACTTTGCTTCGTTCCACGAAACTTTGCGTGGGCGCGTAAATTTCTTGGTGTCGTGCATTTATCATTTCCGGTGTTACCAAAGCATCAAGAAACTCTTCCATTTGGAAGAGTGTGAAATCGCGAAAGCATAATGGTGATGGCAACAGCACAACCTGCTGCTCCTCGCTCACTTCATTGTAGGCGCACTTGAAGTGATACAACATACAGCCGGGCATAATTTCATCCACAACATAATTGCTATATTCCGATAGCCAATTCAGTAAATGATCATTCACTACATTTTCGCCGAAGTAGAGCTTTCCATAACATGGCAGCAGATAAGAGTCCCGCTCAGCGAGTTCATCGAACGCCTGCACTTTGCAGAAGTTCTTTCTGCAAGTGGCATCCATGTATGTGCGCATTGCATTGTACTCCAAACTGGTGTAGTGTATCGTTTCGAAGGAGTCGGTGTTCGTATACAGCAGGAGCTCGTGCAACAATCGGTTATTCGCAGCAATGCATAGACGTTCAAAGTGTTTCACCTTCAAAATACTATTGAAAGCTGTGTTGTAGACATCACGCAATTCGCCATCTAAATCTATTTGGCTCGTACTTTTATACGGCAGTGTAGTGAGCTGTGCTTGTTGGGGCGTGAGTTTGCGCACGCGTTGCGCTATTTGATTCAGCAGCCCCTCCAAGTAGATGGTGATCGTGGCACCATCGCTGGCCACTGCGGGCAATGGTCGAGTTAAGTATGTGCCTTGCATGGCCAGCGACTCGGCGATTTCTTTTAGTCCTTCTACATTCACGTCCTGTGGCATTGCGACATTGGTTAGTTGGAAGGGCTCGATATAGTAGCGAAGGTATTGTTGCTGTAACAATTCGATGTCGTACAAGTAGTGGCTGAGTTGATCGTAAATTTGCTGTGTATACTTTTCAGCGAGGCAGCGCGAGATTACGGGTAAATAATGTTGCATGTAACCAGAGGGCTTTGTAATGGCGAATGCGCGCATTTCGTAGATGTCTAGCTGTATTTCTTCGAGGGTTTTTGCAAGCAATTCTTTGGTTTCCGGATGCGGTAGTAATATATCATAACCGCATTCTTCGGGCAGAAAGTGCACGATAGCCTGCAGTGGTTGGTTGTTGCTGTGGACGTACGAAAGCATAAATGAAATGTGTGAAACCAATAAATGGAAGAAAAGGTAGGTGGAAATTGTATTTGAGTCGTTTACGCGATGAAAACTTTTAACATGAGCTGAATCGCTCAACAACAGAAATAGAGCGCATTTCGACATGGAAGACAAGATTCCGACATCGGTTGAAAGGTTTATTTCATTAATTAAATACGTATGTACCTAGCTTGATTGATAATTTGGGTACTTCTTCGTCCTTAGAAGATACAACTATTTGATAAGCACAAAGTATTGCATTGTTTTCAACTAATTCATTATTAAAGGTCCTGTTAAAAATATATACGAAAGAAACGTATTGAGGTGCCTCTATATAAGTATGTACATATACTTGAAGGGAATCAATCAATTAGGTTTCGCGTCCTTTGTGAAACCAATGGAGGTTTACTAGAAAGAACTTGGTAATTTTTACGGTTCTCGACCACTTGCTATGCCTAATCACTTGAGATCACTAAGCTCATTTAGGACCTGATTTAATAAGTCACATGCAAGTGCCTTTTTCACATGTCTTTTACTGCGTTCGTTTTTTTGATAAGGGGTAGACCTATCCGCTAATTATATAACCTTAAGCTAATTGATCGTCCACATCCTTACAAACACTTGGACATTATAGAAGTTTTACTTGATGATATACCGCGAGACGGCGAATATCAATTTTCGTGCCTTAAGGCTCTTAAATCTTAACCTTGTCAAATCTGCACAACTGCTTCCCACACACCAATCCCCCTACAACTGCGGAAGTAAGAATCAAATGTGATTTTAAGCTTTACCGCGTTAATTACGATCGGTCAGTGAGCTGCCAGAACCCCCACTTAACACAAGAGCTGTGCATGTCTTCTACCACCGATACACCCTGGGTTAGATGGTACTTCCAATTGCGCACATATTAGTTCTCTTCCAGCGTTCGCTGAGCTGACATGAGACATTTCAGTCCAAGTGGTAATCACAGGTGGTACCATTCTCATTCTACCCGGTAATATCGTTTCAAGGATACCCTTAATTGCCAACTCTGCAGCTACGCAGAATGTCACTGGGACCTGGTACCCAGTGCTATGTCCAATTTGCCGAGCAGTTATTAAAGACGACACTTTCCTAATATTTTGTTAGACTTTTCAGTAAAAATATTTGTTCAATTGTATTTTTGGAATAAACAAAGTTCTTTTTCCTTTCTCAGTAAACTGTTTTTATTACAATAAGCAATGGAATAAGGAAAAATTTGTTTTATTTCCAACCTTTGTTAGAAATAAAACAAAACTCAGATTTTGGTATTATTTCCCATTTAAAAGTGAAATAAAGCAAATTTTGCGTTATTGCCGTTTCTGTTCACCCCCTCCCCCCTAAACGGATACGTTAACAAGCCAAAACTCAGCATTTTGAGTACTAAAGGTTCACATTTCATTCAAGAAAAAACTGTGCACCCACAACGCGCCATTGTTTAGTTTGGTTTAGGCTGGCGGAGTCATCGGACCGTACTTCTTCGAAAATGATGCCGTTTACGCTGTTACCGTGAACGGCGAACATTATCGTGACATGAAAACAAACTTTTTATGACCTAAATTAGATGACATGAACTTGGACAGTATGTGGTCTCCATAGGACGGTGCGACTTGCCACATGGCGCATGAAGCAATTGCCCTATTGCGAACGACGTTCCCACGACGCATTATCGCACGAAACAAGGAAAACAAATGTCCTCCGAGATCTTGCGATTTGACGCCATTGGACTTCTTTCTCTGGGGCTACGTGAAAAGAATGGGCTATGCAAATAAGCCCGAAACGATTCAAGAGCCAGATGAGTCGCATTTATCGGATACATATGCTTTTTCATACATTAATATCATAGCCATAAAACATGATGAAAAAAAATCATCTTGCCAAATTTTGAAAACCTGTGGTCTCATTGAATCACCCTGTACTAAAGTGCTTTAACAAACGGTCCTGATGAAAATTGTCAAAAAAAGGAGATTAAGTACATGTATTTTCACAACTTTTCAGGAACTCTATTCCTACGGACGAATTAATTAAGATACAGCGAGACCTATTAGGCAGGCTTATGAAATTTTAGTTAATCTGAAAATGCCTTAAGACAAATCTAGGCTCCGATGTTGCTCCACCCAGAGATATAAAAGAGTGAAAGCAGGATGTAATGTACTTTACTCATCCGCACACCATTACTCTGAACTGGCCCACAATCATAAAAGGTCTGCATGAAGCCATGTCATCCTTTCATGCTAATATTGTGTACTAAAGGGGTTTCATTAAAATTGAAAACTGTATGCTAAATTTTTTATTAACGAATCTGTTTTTTTTATTGAAAAGGGCCTATACTTATCATTGCGAGGAGAATATAACATCGTTCGGTTGTCTGCTACGACTTATCGCAGTAGCACGGATCCGAGTGATCCATCTGAATGTGAGCTGCATGGGTTATATGGACTTTAAGGCTTAAAATGCCATACAAATGCAAGGATATTATATTTTAAGGATGTGAAAACTATCATGCTATTTAAAACGCTTCCCGAAAATTAGTTTTGATATTCAATAAAATACGTTTGAAACACGAATTTTATTACTAAATATGTGCCTATATACCAGGAATAAAGGATCATCGTAAACACGCATTTTCACAGAACAACCAATTTCCCAATGGGCCACTAGTTAATACATTATAATATACCTAGATACAGCGGTAAAAAAAATTATAGCCCCACCATATTTGGACAAGTTTTAACATATTATTTTTGTTGTTATTTAATTTTGGTTATTTTTTTATAAAGATATAGTTCATTCTTTAACAAACCCCGCGTAAATCCAAACTTTCAAACTTTGTGGAATATTAAAAAAAAATCAACCAAATTTCGTAGAAATTTCGAGATTTTTAAATTAGATTTCAAATGGCTAAAAATTACGGTTGATTTTATAAACTAGTAACCAAAATTAAATAACAGCAAAAATAATATGTTAAAACTTGTAAAAATGTGGTGCGGCTATAATTTTTTCGACCACTGTATGTATATTTACTATGCGAAGTAAAATCCGCACTCCAACTATAAGCGTGTAAGTTAAGAAATTCTGAGATATGCAAATGCGACATTCAGAAGTTTGCTCTCAAAATGCCGACACTTACAGGATATGCAAATCGTTTTAAGCTGCCTTAAGTTCACGTTCAAGTTAGCAAGTAAATAGCGGCGTAGATACCGATTTCACAAACTAAACTTTGAGCGCGTGTGTTTGTATAATCACATGCGTGAGTATGTGTAAGTAAGTGGCAAATACCATAAATTCTGGTGTTTCTATTGCAATTTTATGTTGCACATAAGCATGATGCATGTGTTGCAAGCTTTTTGATAAACTCTATACATACATCTTACAGTAACAACAACTTGTCTTCTTTGCCTTTGTACTTACATGCATATATGTATGTATGCAATAGTAGCACTCAAGTTTCCTTACAAGTTTGAGCTAAGTTTACAAAGTGCGCATGAAATTGTGCGAATTTATATGTAAAGGATATTTGCATGAGTTAACGAACAGAGGCGGCGTTAAAAAAATTTCCTTTGCAACTATAATTATTTTATAGAAAATCTTGATACATATTATTAACCTATACTTCAAACAAATTGTTATGCTGCCACGGGAAAGATTTTGCTTGGTGTTGGTTAATCCTTTCAACAGCGTGACAGGATGATGTCCATATTTTGGAACGAACTTCCGTCATTGGGTATCAAACAAATTTTTCTTCTTCTGCGATTTGTTAAAGGAATAAGGCCAATAGAATGAAAAGGGCCCAGGCGCCCACACTGGAGAAGTGAAACTTACGTCACATATCTACTTCGTCTCATAACCAATATATATACATATGTATGTACATACATACATACACTTGCCTCTGCTCAAGGTTATATTTTTTGTCTTTTTTCTATCTATGTAGATCCCTACCTATACTCCTGGTGTTCTAATTACATTTATTTTATTCGGTTTTCCTTTATCATCATTTTTATTATTTATACTCTATCGATAACAAAATCGATAGTAGCATCCAACAAAATATCGATATAAATATCGATAAATACATCTATAACAAATTCGATAAAAATTTCGATAGCAAAATCGAAAAAAAAATCGAAAACAAATCGATAAAGATATCGATACAAAATCGATAAAAAATATCGTTAACAAAATAGATAATCAATCGATAACAAAATCGATTAAAAATATCGATAACAAAATTGATAACAAAACCGAAAGGTAATCGATAACAGAATCGATAAATAATTGTTATAATTATAATAGATTATAATCTATATTAAAGTCGATAAATAATCGATAGAAAATCGCTAAATGATCGATAAAAAATCGATTACAAACTCGATAAATAATCGATAACAAAATCGATAAATAATCGATAGCAAAATCGTACAATACCATTATAAATGTATGTGGACTCAAATTCAGAAATAGCGCATAAATCTATTACTTGTATTCAGAGATCTACATATATTAGAAATTAACAGGTAATTATTTATTGTGTAATAATTTTTAACCCTTTAACCCCTTCCATTATGGGTCATTTTGACATAAAAAAAACTAACAAAGGTTCAAAGGGTGGCGATCATGATAATCTCGGGCGCGTTACCCTCAACGCCGACTAGATCCTAGCCACTTTGCTTCATTTTCTACCTGTTGACCTATATGTAAACTACAGGCAAGTGGTAATGGTAACAGACTAATGGCGTTGATCAACTAGGGTGTTACGAGGTTCGGACATTCTGGAAGATCCTCCAGCAGACTTCAGGTGACCGGACTGCAAAGTCGTGCCCACTGGACTGAGGAATAATTTCCAAACAAGGATCCCCTCAAAAGGTGAAAGGGAGGAGAATCTGAAGGTAGGGAGCGTGGTTTACTCGCAAGAGCTCTCTCTTAGCCTCAGTTTTCGTCTGTCAGACCTCTGCAACGTTTTTAAAGCTGAACATTCAGCAATAAATGAAGCTACAAGATGGCTGATAGATTCGTCTATTAATTTGTATGCAGTGGCTATCTTTTCTCACAGTCAGGCGGCTATAAAACCACTTAATTTTGACAAATCCACATCGAATATCGTCATTTAATGTAGACACACCCTAAATGAACGGGCAATGACATGTGACACTCATATTGTAAGGGTGTCAGGCCAAAGAGGCATACGGGGAAACTGTGCTGCCCGCGAACCAGCAAGGATAGGAACCTTATTGTCTGCAGTCAGTACCGTTCGAAATGCGGGGATTCCGCTATCAACCTGCAAACTCCGACCAAAGAAAAAATTATCGAACGGGAATATGCCTGAGTTAGATAAAAGCAGTTCTAACTCTCTCCTCCGCCTGGCGCGTTCACTGCTCCGATATGTAATTGGAGTTCTACCCGGTCACTGTCTGATGGGAATCCACGCCATAAGATTGCCATAGCTGCTATGATGAGGAGGAAATTTAAAGAGTAGAGCATTTCCTATGTCACTGCCCTTCATTCGCGTGGGCTTGTCTACCTGCCTTCACTATCCTTTCGAATGTTTGGCTGAACTGGATTCAGCTAGTATCTTTGAATTTGTGGGCGAGAAGTATTTAAAATACCAATTCCGATCGACCCTTAGGGCTCTGACTTTGGTTTGCAATAAATATTGATCTCCCATAACAATGTCACACTAGGATGTACTCAGTTAAAACGTCGACCCATCCTTCCTGACTAGTATCTTGGAGTTGGAGCTCGGAGTCAATTATTTGAATTTCTCAAAAATCGAATATCGATATATATATCAAGTTGAATGAGAATCCTGTGGCGCTATTTATAGTAAAGCTAATCCGAAGAGCCAAAGTGACCTTAAACGCCTTCCTTACAAAATCATCGCCTGCAAAATAAATTTCGCAAATGCATAATTATTGAATTGGGTCTATTGTGCTCTCCCAAAAGCTGCCAGCTCCTCCTCGATGGCACCACTGCTTGCTTGAGCTCAGCAATGAATTAAATTACATTTAAGAAGCTAACAACTAGAAACTCTGAAGTTTCCTAAGTAGGCATCGATTGTTGTAGCAGAGACCAAAATGGAGATGGGGAGTGTGTATGCGTGCGTGTGTAAGGACTTTACCTATTGATGGCAGTTAAAGTGCAATTTATTGTTAGTCAAATTTCACGAAAGTAGGATTCGCAATACCTCGCAGCTGACATTTGAGTATAGTTTTATTTTAAAAGCTATTAAAAGAAGTTCAAGTCTTGACGTCGAAGCTTTCAATGCAAAATATTGTTGTAAAGATTACTCTAATTTTCTTCGATATTTGTATGCAACGCATAGTATAAATAAAATGTTAGACACTTACGCCACTTGAGATTCACATACCTTAACAGTTTTACATAAAAGTCATTGTCCATATCGCCAACGAGTACTATGTAGAGCTTTGAATTTTCCGGTTCGTCTTGTATGTACTGCAATATAAGAAATTTATGAAATTCAACAAATCCTAAACTGAACTTCTCCTATCACACACACACTACACTTACAAGCTTCTTTGAAAGCAGCGGTGGACGCCCGATAGTATTGTGCTGCTTTGGCGCTAATTGTGGACACACAGGAAGGCTAATGACAGACTTGTTTTCAAGCGCCGTATTCGAACCTTTTGCTCTATTTTGAGGTCTGTTGGACTTTTCGGGCACATTCGGCGACTTCGCCTGCCCTTTTTTGCTTGCGGCGCTTCCATTTTTTGATAATCTGGCACCAGTGGGCACATTGAGATTTTCCATCCAGAAATTGATTAAACTAAATTTCTGCTCATCAGCAATTTTTTTGGAGGCCTGCATATATTCGCGACGGCAGCGTTCGATAGCCTCCGTGGCAACAGCGAAGTCGTCAAAGCGTTTGGTATTGCGAACTGTGTGGAAATGACAAAAGATTTCTTCGTAAAATTTAGAATTAATCAGGCTCACCTTTCAAAGCTAGCATTTTCGCCTCCTCCTCCAAATCGATTATCATAACACGTCTTCGCATACCCGATTGCACGCGTTTCGTGAACTCATCGCGTATCGAATATAGTGAATTCGTATGAAAATTGATGGCATAGAGCTTGTAATCGCGATTGCTAACCGCCTAAAATGATTTAACAAAAACGAATGGCGTTTCCACAAGAATATTGAAGAAGAAAATCTAATTTGTATAGCAACTCACTGGCATGTGCAGAGCATTGGTGGTCATTTGTTAAGGATATTTTTGGTTTATAGCCTTTGTTTGTTTAAAAATATATTTTATATTTTTCAAGACTTTCTCTTATGTTCTTATTATTTCCTAAGTTTGTATACAAAATATAAAAAGTATAATTCGAAAATGTATTTAACAAAGGGTGATTGAATAATTCAAAACAAGGCACATTAAAAATAAAATTTCAAACGGAACAGTGTTGTAAAAAGTATTAGAAAATGTCTTGCTTCTTCTTCTTTTGGCTTCTTTCCGAAAACCCATGGCGCAATAATTCAGGTGATTTCGTCATGTCATCTGTCGTTCGCTACTTTAGTAAGCCTCTCGGAAATAAGTAGCTTGCAAGTTGGTAAGGATATTTCTGTAGCCAAGTCGCGCCAGTTCAACGGCCTTACAGTTCTCCCCAATGTGGCAGTGTCCGGGAACCAATATCACCTTTGGCAGAAATGTTTCGTAAGGGATTGGTTCGCCGCTTGGCTGTCAGTGAAGATGTAGACATAAAATTGGGATATCATATCACACTCTAGTTTTGTGGCCCTGTCGATTGCCATCAGTTCTGCCTGAAAAACGCTTCAGTGGTCCGGAAAATGAAAGCTAAAGCTGCCTTTACACGGGCCGATTTTCTGGTAGATTTTTGCCGTTCAACCAAAATCGACCAGTGTTAGTGGCAATTCCACCGTGAAGTGTAAGTGTTTTGGCTGGCCGATATCACAGTCGATTTTCCAGTCGACAGAACTCGACCCGTGTAAAGGCAGCTTAAGGTAGATTTCCAGTTATTTGGAGTATACACCCCATTTCTAGTGAAGAGCACTAAGTCCATCTGTATAGGATATATTCCCAGTCCTCGACTGTGACATCATAGGTATAAGTAGTTTGTTAATAGATCTTTGAATTAGATCGGCCAATGTTGAGCGGTGTTCGCCCGAGATTGCTATTAAAATATCGTCAGCATATGCAATTATCTTCCCGCCAATGCCGGTATGCTAAGTACCACAGAAGCAGAGAGATTACTCCCGAATCTCTTTATTTACGATTCAACTCATTCGTTCGATAAACGAGGTTGCTTACACCCAAATTTACCAACGATGACATAGGATATACGAGGGTATAACTTTAAAACCTAATTATCCTTTAATTGTTTGCACTAGAGAGTGGAGTGCTGTTTCAATTGATCTTCCCTTATTCTACGCAAGCTGGGTTGCCGAAAGTTTGCTGCTCACCTTGTCTCTAATATGCTCATCTATTAGTCGTTCTAAAGATTTCAGCAAGAAGCAAGACAAACCTATAATTGGCCTTAAGTCTTTGCGTCTCGCATGAGTTGCTTTTACTGCTTTAGGAATTAAAACAAATCTAACCTCCCCCCATTGGTGGGATATATAATGAAATCAGTGGTTGGCGGGCCATAGCTCAGTGAGCGCTCTCTGAGCACATGTGTGTTTCACACGTATATGAAGAGTGGCAGCTGAGCAGTGTATTTAACGCACCTAGTCTCACTTATTGAATCGTTTGAATATGTTAGTATGCCGACCACTGAGTGAAATCATAACGCTACCTCAAAGACGGGTACGAGTAGATGTGGGTGCAATCATGTCTGGTTCTGAAGACTTGTACGGTTGGAAGCTGCTAACAGCCCGCTTTTTGTTCTATTCAGTAAAGGAGATTATCGTTGTTGCCTGCGAATCGAGTGCTGGTAACTTTGCTGTGGAGGCAACCCGGAAAGTGCATTTGTATTAGAAGTTCTAATACTTAATAAGGTAGCTTATATTGCTAGGACACGTCGATAGTATCTTGCGTTAGTCTGCTGGCCTCGGAAGAGCTTTCTATCATTTCGGAGAGGTTTCTACATGAGGAGCGCCTAGCATCTCCCACCGCATATTTAAATCGGCTTTTCCGGTCTTCAAATTCTCTCCAAGAGTTGCATCTCCTAGCTTCGTTAAATTTTGATCTACATTCCTTTCTGAGGGTTGCGATTTCCATCGACCACCTTGGAGGTTTTAGTTTCCTACTTGTCGCCCTGGTCGGGCAGGCTACCTTTACTGTACGTTGGAATACTTTAGTTAGGTCATCAACGACCTTATAAAGTTTACTCTCTGAGTTTATCTGGGTAGTGGGAACAGAAAGGCTGTTAGAAAAAGTAGTTTCTGAAAGAGAATTGTCTTTAGAGACTCTCCAGTCATTCAAAAGTTCTGCCCCTTGTTGGTAGGGGTGTCACCTATATTGCTAACCTGTAAGTATACATTTTTTTTAAGTTCCAACCATTGCTAACGTGCAACTATTTTTCTTTCCTTCTTATAATGTTCTATTCGTTTTTAGACTTTCAAATACCCTCTATGTAGTTGAATAGCAACATCCTAATTTATACCCAACATTCCTTCCCTTCATCACATTCAATTCCATCCCATCATCTTTCCCACTTCTCTAGAAAATATGCTTTAGCCTAACTCATTGTTAATATGTAAGTCTTGTGTAATTATTTACAAAGTACTCAATTGCTGGTAAGTTTAGTGGTTCATTAATGACCCAGAGCAAGCAGACTCTTCGTCGTGCCCCATGTGTAGTTATGCATGCGGCTAGCCATCATACGTCCTTAACTACTCCATTAGTTGCCTACGTATACGCATAATTGTTAGACGCACATATTTTTCATGCAACGGTGCAGCAGTGAGTAGCGTTGTTATTGTTGTTGTTGTTTAAATTACTTTCAAGATCTGCATCCAGATTACTATAAGAATTGTATTGCAAAATGGATACGTGGCAGGCTCTCACATTTATTTGCCTACGCAAATGTACATGCCTCAAGCACTCGCATAATCATTGTGACTGGGTAAATACTTGTAAGAGTACACATGCGTAGAGGTAATAAGCGTAAGTGGCTCTTAGAATAAATGGCTACCCTACATGATGCTACTGGGAGGCGGCACTACGCGGCACTCCGCCTCTCAGTGCTGTAATTAGTATTAAGTAGTTGAAGCAATTGGGACTTCTTTGTTCGAAGGAGGCTGGTATTTACATTTAGTGAGTTTACAGTTACCAAGTAATTAATACTAAAACTATGTATTTCAGTAATTTATTTCCATAAAAAATGCTTGAGATATTTCAATCAATACTCGTACTCGTATTAGCTGACACTTTACACGATTGAGCCTTGTAAACTTCATGCACCGCAATTACTTAAATAAAAATCTATACAAAAAGTTGTCACGAGAATACTTATTTGACAAACGATTTTCTGTTTTTTATGCAAACACTATCATGTTATAAATATGTATTATTCAGTCGGCGCTTTTCCTGGTTTTAGTAGTAGGATAACTCTTCCAGACGTCCAAAATAAAAACCGTCTTTCGTGGAAATGTTGATCTTAGAGCGGCTCCAACAAGGTGTGTCTATTTTTTTTAGACCTAAGGCTTCCAGATAGATTAACCAGTTTAATTAATTACCCACTGCTTGTATATATCCTCCTTGCTTCCCAACACTTATTGAGTTTTTATATCCCACTTAGCACCATACTCGTACTACTTTCATTCCGCAATTAAGCTTTTGACCCAAGTCAAACTCTTGCAAGCATAATTAAACAACAACTCACCTGTAGCACTAAATCTATTCACACCTTATTTGTTGTTTGTTTAATGCTACCAAAGCTTAAGAAATACTCAGAAAAGTCATTAATCAATTTTGAAATGCATTAAGCCATCGTTTACTTAACCTTGCTCCCTCTCCGAAACTCACATTTAGTTACCTTAGATAACTGCAAAATTATGCATTATTACCATCGTTCAAAGCAGCACCCAAAGCTTCTCACTCTCTACAAAAGACAAAGGAAAACCAAAAACTCTCTACTCTAAGTAACACTGCAACCAAAACTTCTAAGGTTTCAAAGTGCATTTAAACAACAAACATGCTTTACGAATTTTTGTTGCCCGGCAGCACTTTCTTTGCTTCATCTCCGTACAAACGTTTGTTATTTTGCAGTATTTGATATGGCATCACCTTTCAATTAAAATGTTGCTCCAACTCATTTCCGTTCATTGCAGCTAGCTGCTTGCTACTGCCACCCATAAAACTTCCGCTCTGTTACTTTGGCGCGCTTTCATCCAATGAAACTCGCACTTCGGCGCCTGCAGCTACGTTGCCGGCTACGGCTGTAGACAAGACAAACACAGTTTGTACTGTGTAGTTCGAAGTGAGTAGGTATCGAGCGTTGTTAGTGAGGGAAGGTGGCGGCAGCAGAGATGCGTAGTGTGGTGCTGGCGTTGCACTCAACTTCCGGTTGCTAAGTCTAATTGAAAGTGCAATCTGAATACTGTGTGCAGTAAAATGCAATTAATGCCCGCAAAGCATTTTTGCATATCTTTGATTTGTTTGCTATGTACACTGTTACATTACATCTACCACTCCCCGTAGTTGCTTGTTCATTCTTTGCATTGCTTGGGCTGTCTAATCCCTTTACTTGTGTGCTTGACTCAAGTTCAGTTGCGTATCTATTTATTTGTTTGCCTGTCTAGTATTTGTTTGTCTATTTATTCTTCGGACTACATTGGATTTCAAGACTTATTTGCATTTATTTGCCATTTTCGTGATATCCCATTGCAGATGGTAGGTCGAAAAAACTAAAACGCTTTTCCAACCACTTCGGCATTGTTGCCATTGTACTTAAGGACGTGAGACCCTGATGTGTCTCGACACTTCCTGCCACGCTTGGATTTATATGTAATTGACTCCGGTCCAATTAGGCGCTCCAAAAGACTGGAGTTTGCCGATTCATCAGGCAGTTTGTTGCCTTGAACACCACAGTTTTTAAGCACCCACATAAGCTCAAGCTTGCTCCATTTTGCTACGGAGTTCAGCCTCAACTTACATTCTTGGATATTAGGATCATGATTGCTCGAGCTCAACATGCTTGCATCAAAGCCTCTTCATAAGGCCGTGAAGTCGGTAGGGATAAAGCCTGATTATGCCAACTTAACTTAACTTATTTTAACGGAAATTAGAAGTAAGCTAAT